CGCTTTATCACTACGCCGCCGCGGAATGGCCGACGCGGCGGCCAATCGCAGCGCGCGATACAGCGGAATCGCCGACCGCAGCACGCCTCTCCGAGCATCCCTCGCTTTGCATCGAGATGCGTGAAGTTATTCGAAAATCGGAGTGGGGAGGGGATGGTTTGAATTCGCCGAGTGCGCTGCGCCAAATTTCACTCAATTTGAATTGAAATTAAATAAATCATTATCGATTTTATATTCGCATGCAAAAGATAAATATTGCATTTGTCAATTAATATTATATAAGTTTTAATAGAGAATAGTAAATGTGAATTATATCAATAATAGTTTAGTTTTGTAAAAGAAGAAATAACAGATTATTAATCTTTTATTCAGAAAATTGTTAAATATTATTTAATAATTTTCTGAATAAAAGATTAATAATCTGATATTTCTTTAAAATTCATTTAAATACGGAAATTTTAATACATCATTAACTATCTTTGATTTCGAATGATTGCAAAATATTTAATTTTGACTAAGAATAAATCTAAACTGCATGAATTATTTATCTTTTTTATTATATATTATATCATTATATATATTCAATTTGACAATTTTGTTCCATAAATTTCTATTTATTATAATTTTTAAGATTTTTATATATCATAAAAAAATATATATATATTTATAGTATATAAAAATCTATAAAAGTTTATAAAAATCTATAAAAATCTATAAAAAAAATTACAATTAATAGAAATTTATGGAACAAAATTGTCAAATTGAATTAAATTGTCTACAATTTAATTCAATTAATGTTATGTGTCTTTATCAAGAAATAGACAATTGCTGAACTAGAATAATGAATGCTTACGTTAATGATGGATCTCATTACATAATATCTCACGTGAGAAATATCTTTGATTAACATCTGATGCTTTTTTTCTATGATAATGCCTTAATCGTGCGAACAGTCAGCCCTAATTAGATCGCAAACAAAAATAATCTAAATTTTTATGATCAGATGTTTTATTTATGCTCTTTGTGAGAAAATTCTAGAAAAATAATAACCTGGAAAGTGTAATGTATTAATTAAAAATGCAGAAATCCCTTTTTGGAATTTCTTTTTTTATTAATGTCTATTTTTTGTGATATATGCTGAAAATGGAAATCTTTGCATGTATAATTTTCTCATATAAATTCAGTTATAAATCTTTCTATTTTTTTAAAGATCAATGCAGTTCATAATTACAATGCGAATTTATACATGTGAATAATAAATAATAAATAATGTGAATCAAAAAATACATCAAACTGTTATATTTATAAGAAAATTTGTATCATTCTCTCATATTGATTGCATCCATCAATGATCTCTACTGTAGTGATAAAAGAAACACAAAATATCAAGATATAATGCAGTTTAAGGATTTAATTATGCATCAATATAATGCAGTTTAAGGATTTAATTATGCATCAATATTGGATTACGTCAGGTAACGATCAGCTGATACATATTAGCGTCTGTATTGGTATTAATACCGGACATCTGTCGATCTATAATGCTGTAAAATGCAGGTTACAGCGCTTCAGGCGTCGATATTCAACGAGTCGCGCACGAGTCGAGAGGAGCGTAACGCGCTTGATCATTAATTAAGGCTTGGCCGCGCTTGATTGCGTGTAACGCGAAATTCATCGCGGCTATAGCCTTAACCGCCAAGCGGCTTAACGAATACAAATGCGGAATTATAATTCGGTGAACCCGGTCTCGAGAGACCATTCCCGAGGAGAGGTGACGGACCTCTTTACGAATCGCCTCTAGTCCTTTGTACCCGCAGCACGCGAGATGCACGCACGAAGCTGCAAACACGCGGCTTCCTATTAGCCTTATTAATGGTGCCATTAACCTTACCATCGAACTGCAAACATCTGCGCCCGGCGACGACGATGCAGCGCGGCCACGATACAATTATCTTGTGGACTACAATGGCAGTTGATGAACCCAACAGATGAGATTCTGAAAATGAAATGAAAGATATTAAAATAGCTATGCAACAGCTAAATTTCTTTATCATATAAATAATATAAATTATAGAGAAATCTTTCATTTTTACAATTTTCTTTCTTGTTTATTCATTTATTTATTTATTTATTGTTTACATGTGTGTGTGTGTGTATGTATGTCTTGAGAAATAATAATTTTATTTAGGAATTATTATTTAGGTATTGATTTAAGTATTGAATTTAATAATATGTTATAATAATTAATTGTTAGCAATTTTATTTCCTGTTTAAATTACTTTTTCTTTGAACGCAAAAAAAGAGTAATTATTTTCCGAAATTTTTCGATGCTGCATACGATTCCGTGTGATTCTCTCAATTTTTTTCGTCGCATTACAAGTTTGAGAAATTTGCAAAAATTGTAAAAATGGATATTTTAAAAATATATTTAGAAATATATTTTATTATTTATTTTTTAATTATTTCTAAATAAATATATGTTTGGAAAATTTTATTGCAATTCAAGTTATGTATATTGCCAAGACATTTCAAGTCTTTAAAAAGAATTTATATATTGTCGATTATACTTAATAAGATATTTATTATTATACATGGGATTTTTTACAGGAAAGTTTGAAATATCATTGATAATCTTGATGCATTATTAAATTATGGAAAATCCTTATTTTCTTTCTTGTATCTTTTTATTAAACTGTAATACGCGCTGCTTCTTTGATATACGATATGAAAACCAGTGCTATCGTCCGGACGACGAACATTATTAAGTCGATACGATATTCCACGTGGATATCCTTTTTCATTCGCGAAAACATGTCCGAACCTTTGACGTTGTCTACCGCTGAAAACAAGTTAAATGAGCTGAACAAAAATATTGTTGAGATCAAAAAGAAAGTCCAGCTATCAGGTAACGAACTGCATACAATTTCTCGTTCATTTATATCACTTCTGACAATAATCCACGAGTCGACACTATACAAGACTGCAAAGCTAGAATCAAATCTTATTTATACAGAGTATCTTACTTCTCTACAGTATTATTTCTTAATGACATTTTAACTAACAAAAGTATAATCGACAATGTACAAATTCTTAATTTAAAATTATCTTCTTTTTCAATTTTTTTATTATTTAATTTCTAGCAAACTAAACTTTAAAGAGGAAATGAATATCTAAATCATATTTTTTAATTTAATAATTAATTTCAAATGGATTTTAATGCCTTGTGTTATTAAAGATATATTATTTAATGTTAGAAATTAAAAAGTTATACAATTGCAAATTAATTTAAAATTGTGTAAATTAATTCAAAAAGTTTAATGGAAATTTAAATTACGTTATGACATAGCATAAATGGGACTCTGTAATTTAATATTCAGATATTTGTTACACATCATGGAGCAAGGCGTGCCAAAAAGAGACAGCTCGCTGACATTTTAGAAGCAGAATCGCGATTACATATTACACAATGATAAATAAGAAATCGGACTGGAAGAACCAGTATTTGAGACGACGCACAATCTTATATACAAAAATAACGATAAAAAAATAAAATGAAAAGGGGAGCAATATCTAGTAGGGTCAAGTCGATTAGGCTGTGTGTTATATAGGACAATGTAGAATGTTTGCAACTTTATTGAATAATTATATTTGTTAATCGAGAGAAGCTGCGAAAAATGGGCAACAATTCTTTTGATTTCATACGTAAATAAAATTAACATAATTTAACATAAAAAGCTTAAAAAATAATTTGTCTGCACAAAAAAAAATATTATGTAAATATTTATATTAAAACATCTATATTAATTTTATTTTTTAAAAATAATAATCCCGTATTTATAAATAAAAATTGTCAATGTTATACTGTAATTAGTTTTCTATGTATGTAAAATTACATTTAAAATATTAAAATATTTCCTTAAAATTTCATTAATAATATTTCATTGAAATTAGTTTTCTTTGTATAGATACAGAAGAATTTACGTTTTAAATCATCAAGTTATATGTGCATGGTAGAACAAAAAATAGTGATATTTCTCTTATTTAAATTATTTTATACTAATTATTATTTATTATACATCCTAATTTCTTATCTTTTTATATATTCCTATTCCATCTTTCATTATATTTATTATTTTATATCTTTCTAATATATTTATATTATATAATTAATCTTAATTTAGTTAAATATGATTCTTGATTAACTAATTAATTTTTAATTAAATCAATCAATTAAGATTATGACATGTCTGATTAAATAAAACTTCTGTCATGAATGAAATTCTAAGCTAAGCTTCTTCTAACGTGTTTACGCATTAATGAACCGATGCAAATAATAAGCTTCGATAGTGACGAGTATTGAATAGATCGGCTTTCAAAGATCTCGTGCCAAGAGAATCAAGACAGCTGAATAGATTTACCTATTAGATACCTGATTCTCTGAACCCGATCAGTCATTATGGAATGCTGCTACTTGTCGTTTTATCTATCATATTTATGCACGACTATATAAAACTTTGAACAGTACAATTAATGATCAGATTTTACGGTTCTTTCCTGCCGAGATACATTTCCGCATTTCTCGTGACAGAAATCGAATTAATATATCACTCGATCTCGTATTTATTTAGTAATTATCACATAATTTCTTTTTCTATTTTTTAAAAAGTTATTTAGGAAAACGGAATGGTAGAATAATTTTATGATTAATACTATTTTATAATTAAATTTATCAAAAGTTGCATTTGTAGAAAAGTATGACAATTAATTTAGTTGTGTTTCAACATGTGTTTCATTGTCAATATACATATAATGTAATATAATGTTATAAAATGGATATATAAAATCTATAATTGTAAGGAAAGAATTTTATATATACTTTTCCTATCGACTTATGTTAAATAAAAGTTTTTAACACACATATATATTTTTGAATAATTTTCTATTTTTTTGCACAAAAAGTATAATAGATAATATAATGATAATATTTCTCTTGTTTTCAGAGGGCCAAAGAAAGGCTAATTTTGAAGAATATGATGCAAAAAAGCGAGAGAATGCTCAAAAGATTATTGATCTCAAAAAAAATATCAAAGAACTTTACGTGAAATATGCGAGAGCGAAAACTGTAAGACGGATTACAAAGAAATCAAATAAAGCATATATATTATATTAACATGTACTAATGTTAAATATTTTAGAATAAAGAAGCGATGGAACGAGCGGCTCTGCTGAGTCATAATTTTATAGCTTGTGCGAAGAAATGCAGTTTGGATGAGATTATTGCTTCAGCAAGTGAGAATAATATGCGTCTAAGAAAAAAGTTAGATTTAATTAAGTATGAAAGAGAGAAGGTAAGAGTAATCCTAAAAATTGTCGACACATCAAACATTATAGAGAAAAATGATTATGTTAAATATTTCAACATCTGCATCCTATTAGCAAGAACAGACTATAAATATTTTACAAACAGACCGCAAGGAATTGATACGTAGACGCGGCCATTGCGTGTTCAAAAAAAAGACTGAGAATCCTATGAAAAGGGTAATTCAAATTTCATTTGCAAAATTCTTGTAACAAGTAATAAAAATAAATGCAGTTCGCTTGAGCAGAAAATCGAGAGCTTGGAAGTCCGATTGGAGCATATCCGAATGATGCAAATTAAAGCAAATATCTCACGGATGAAATACCGCTCTGTTTCCTCCGAATTAAAAGAGAAATCGGTCTTTTATGCTTCTTCTTTGAAAGACCTAGAAGATGGCATAAGACAACAGGAAAACGAGATCAAACGCTTACAGGCAAGGTCATAAAAAGAGTAATGACATGATGAGAGTATTATAATAGAAACGCTTGATGTCCTACTTTACTTAACTATTGATTGCAGGGAGTAAAGGAGGAAGCTATAGAATTAAGAGATAATACTCAAGAAACTCTGGTGAAAGAGGAAATCGAGGAGACAAATTCCAGTAGAAAACGCGATTTCGTCATCAAAGAATACAGGTGAGCTGTATAACGTAAACTTTATATTTCGGAAAGTAACTTTCATCATTTACACTTGTGTCTTCTAATAATGCCTTTCTGATGATTATCACCGCGAAAATAATTTAATATTTACAAAATTTTTACTACATCAGACAACGTGTGTCGGAGCGAAAAATGGAGTTGGAACGGCTGGAACGCATGATATTTCATACTCGTCCGCGAGATGATTTCGAAACACGTGGGAAAAATCGCAAACAAGCACAAGAAGAGATTATCAAGGACGAGCTGGCGCGACTGGAGGAAACGTTCGCCAAACTGCGGAATGCTACCGGAGTGTCCAGGTCAGAGGAAGTTCTGAACCGGTTTCTGGGTCAGCAGGCGACCAAGGAGAGTCTACAGAAAATGCGAGCGGCCACGGAACAAGAGAAGATGATGCTTGAAAAGAAGAGACAGGAGCTGAGCACCGAGATAGAAACGAGAAAATTTTCGGAAACAAAAAGCGCCGAACAGTAAGTTCAGTTTACATCAAAGACTATCAACAATAAACCCATTAAAAACTTACTAGATTAACAATTAAAGTGTTTATGATCACGCTAAATAAAGTCTATAAGTTACCAAGTCTATTTTAGATTTAAAGTCAAGATATTAAAATCCATTTGTTTTAAAATTCAAATCTACTCCTATTTTGATCTTACATATATTTGATAGGAACGCAGAGATAGTAGCAAAACTCAACTCGCAAATTGAGGAACAACAATGTCGTAAAGAGAGAGCCGAGATTGCAAGTCGACGAGTCCGAGAGCTTTTAAACGACATAACTAGTATGCTGTATAATTTGTATGAAAAAGTTGAGGTGAGAAATATCAATTATAAGCTTATGAACGACAAAGTATATAAAATGAATTTGATGGCTTCAGATTCTATTTAAAAAAGAAACATTCATCGATTTAAAATTCACGGATATTTCCATTCAAATAATATTTAAATTCAATTACTCTCTCTTTTTAATAATAATTTATCTTTAATAATTGAATTAGGTAAACTAGAATATAACTATTTTGTCTATAATTTTCTTTGTTTGTAATAGGAAAAAGTTTCGTCCTTCCCTGAATAATGTATAAAGTTCCGAGCAATTCTGATATGATCTTGTAAGTTTGAAAATTTGTTCTCAATTTTATAAGGAAGATGTAAAAAGATATAAAAATGGACCGAGAGACATTTGAAAATATGTACGATAATTGGCTGGATAAAAGTGAGGAGGAAAAAGTATAAATGGATTGTTAAAATAAAAGGATCTTAATTAGCGCTTTTCCTTTTGTGCGACGTGTTCGAAACGTGTCGCCGCGAATTATCACGTGCCAAGAAACGTATTCGGTGGATAAAGCCCCGTAATATCGGAATGGAAATACCGTGTAAACGCTTAATTGAATTAGTAAAACCGCCTTTAATGGGACGTCTGCCACGACGCAAACAGCTTCGACTATTTATCGTTCCTGGAAGCTTAACACCCCTAACATCACGTATCTTCGATGAATTTTCCTAAATAACCCGCGTTCTGTAATTCTCACCTCAAACGACAACGCCTGCTCCGTACATTAACACCTCAATACTCGATCGAAAATAAACACTTCCGCGAACGCAAAGCGAACCGCGTGAAAAATCAGTATTGATTCTATCGGGTATTGGATATGGAATCTACCAATTGTTAATTTCAAAGAAAAACTCTTTGGGCAACCTTTTGGACAACGTTCGTGTTAAAACTGTTTCTTTAAACACTTTTGTCACTTTGTGAAAATTCAGTTCTATTCGGAAACGAATTTAGTAAAATTTACACATCAGTGTATTTAAATTATCTTAAATATTTTTCTAACAATTATATTATTCCTTTATTCTATAAAATTTCGGATATTGTTTCTTCTTTGTTATTGCTTTTATCAGTTGTTTTATGTAGAATAAGAAGCATCACATTTAACTTTTACAAAATATCTTTAAGGCAGATGAAAAATTTCTATACAAAGCAAAAATAATTTTTAGATATGAATTTTTATGTAGGAATTAGTATGCAATTATAATTAGTTTTCTTATATATCTAAAAAAAAATTATATTTAAAAGAGAAAAAAAGTGCTAATCAAAAAGAATTTATAGATTCAAGTGTCATTTTTACGTTTTCATTTTCCATGTATAATAGATTCTTTGATTAACAGATTCTTGAAATATTATTTTGTATGACAGAATTGACAAGAAATTATAACCATGTCATAAATGAATAAAATTAGAAAGAAAATTGAATGAAAGTATTATACTTTCAATGTACTTTCATATTCATATTTAATTTTCTTGGTTAAAGACATAATTATTAAAATTTATATATATATATATATATATATATATATATATATATATATATGTTAGTCTTTATAAAGATATTTATTTCTAGCATGCAACAGATACTCCTCTACTTGAGAATATTAAAATGGATGATACCTTAGAGATTATCCAACTGTTGACTGATAAAGTCAAACACGAACTCGATGATTTCAACATATCTGATAAATATCTTGAAGTAATGGATGAAGCATTAGAGAAGGTCAGGATCAAGGTTTTTATATTTGAAATTAAATAAATTGCTGAAACAAGAATAAAATATTTGCTATTATAATTGTTTTAAAGATAGTATGATATATATACAACTTAAACAATATTATTCTATACATATAGTAAAAGAAGTAATATTTTATAAAATATATTTAAAATATTTATCATATCTGTATACTTCTATCTTTTAAGATGAAACAACAATTATCTCTATTGCTTATAAATTATATATTATTATTATTATTGCTTTTGATAAGCATTTTGTAATATAAAGGAATAATATTATTTTTTAAAATAATATATTCTTTATTTATTTCTTTAAATAATTAAAATTATCAGATAATTCTTTTGAGCAACTAAACAAAATTCTAAATAATCTGCTACATTTTCTATATATTTTGCTATATTTTTTAATCTATAAATATTTCATTGTTATAATGCTTAAAAAATATTCTTGAAATTTCGCTGATTTTGAATAGATTTATTTCGATAATTTATGTGGACATTCACAAAGGATTCCTAAATAGGAATGATCGACTATAAATAATACCTTTGTCTTTTAGTTGGAAACAATGTCGGTGGCTACAACTTCGGCAGAAGGCAGAACAATGCGTGTAAATAGTGGCAAGCCATTGTTTCCACAATTTCCATCCAGCGCGATTCCGGCTGTTCCTCTTTCAGAAGACGAAGAGGAAGTCCCATCCCGAAACACATTAAAGAGACAAGCACAATTACTCGTCGATACAAAGAGTCGCCGCAAGGGTTTTGTTTTTAGAAGATAAATTGTTCGAATAACAAACAAAATTAATTAACAAAATTCTATTTCGTACATGTAATAAAATAAGGCGTATTAGTAAAGTGTATAAGGAAACAAGATTTGAGAATTGTTTTCTTTTTAATTAATGTTCTAATTTTTTCACATTATTTTTGATAACTATTCTCTCTAATTAAATATAAAAAAAAGGATTATTTTCTAATCTTTTCGGAATATTGACAAAGAAAATATATTCAAACTAAACACTTGAGATTTGTTTTCTCTTTAGTTTATGTTCTAATTTTTTCACATTATTTTCGTAATTATTCTAATTAATATAGAGTTAAAAAAAGGAGTTCTTTAGTTTCTTCCAGAATATTGACAAATAGGTTCAAAATACACTTGAAAATGCGCTTGTAAATTAAGAAATAAAATTTAGAAATAAAATCGACAAATAACAAATACAAAATATTATTATATATTAAATTCTATGATAAAATAATTCTGAAGATATAACGGAAATTATCCGAATAATCTGATTTCATTGAACATACCATCCCTCCATATTTTCAAGTTCAACGAATGTGTTTACAACAAAACAATCAATTTCTTGCAATAGAATTCAGTTTCCTCTTTTATTTTACAATAAAAAGGAATCTATCCACGAGCCTTAAACTATGCTTACCCACTTTCTTTGCCATCTTGTTCACACGACACAATATCCATATCTGCAGCAGGAAAGAGGAACTGGAGACCGACTGTATCCACTGTTGATAAAATCACATGCATAATAAAATCATTTACCGACAAAATAAAATTCCAATTATCGGCGCTAGTTGGACGTTTACAGAGTCAAGATTATAGCAAATCCAGACTGTTTTGGACACGTAACAGGAAAATTTATATTTCAGGAACAAAAATATCGCTAATTACAATTAATATTGACTTACGAGAGATCTCGAGATCATTTTTCCTGCGATTTTTGCGCGTTCCGAAACTCACGTTGTACACTTTTTGTCCATAACGGCTCTTGAATATGCGCGATCTGCGCATGCGCGTGCGCTTAGTTCCATCGACTCGCCGAGGGCACGATTGTCAGCGATCAATCTCGGCGTTCGTGCATACGCAGTTGTCAATTCGGTGTTGGTTTCGTCCTCTCCTGTACGTTCTCGTCCGAGGGGACTCCGATAAATCCGGCGATAGCAGCCAAATAGACGGTTCGGTCCCTGAACTTCATCGTGGGATACTCTCGTTACAATAAGCATTCCAAAGAACTGCCAAGATGACTGTCATCACGAAGGCGATCACCGAGAAGAAGACGTCCGACAAAATGGAGCAGCCATTGTTTGTTGAGGAAAATCCGGTTAGTGTCATGTATCTCGTTCGCACGAGCTTGGACGCCTCCCGTCGACTAATCAATTGACCTGTCAATTGGAAAAACGCTACTTTTAATTAATTTCGTGAAGATCGAACCGCGTAGAAACTACGCACAATTTTCGCTTATAAAAAAAGATATATTCGATTCAATTATCAATTTATCGAGTCACACATACATACATAATATATTTTATGTACATTCACATTGATACATATGTACATATATTATATATCTTGTCCCGTTATCAACACAGATGTATGTTTGTGTTTGATAATGCATGTGTTGACATATCACTACATATATGTTGACGAGACCGAGAAGTAAATTTATAATGTTATGACAAAGGTTACTGTTATGACAAATGTATATCATACATATTTTGATATAATCTATAAAAATGATGTTTTCCACACATTTAAAAGACATGATATAAAAGAGAAAAACGCACTTTTATTTGAAATATCGAGTTATTCACATTTGAAAAATAAATAAATCTTGAAATTAAAATTCCTGTCGTCTTTTTTTTTACAGAGTTTACATTATAATTTAAATTTTTATTTGCATCAATTTTTGTTTTATCAAAAAGATGCAGATATATCTATTGATAAATGCCATTATTATTATTTTCATAAAATTTTTGTATAAATAATATATATTATTTGTTTTATGATTTTCCTATCCTTGTAGAGATTAATATAAAAACGGAAAATTAAAGAGCATTTAAATGAATAAAAATACAAATATTCTTTTTGATAGGACTCAAAAACCGATCCAGAAGCAGCACATCCAAAAGGTGATCCAGCTGGTCATTATTTTGTTTCCAAGAGAAGCATCCATCGTATACATGTAACGGCGACATTTTTGCTCTTTCTCGTCGCACTAATGATACTGATTATCGGAGTAATCGGTGGACTTTATATTTACAAACAATACGCGAGAACTCAAATGCGCAGATTCCGTACTGGCTGGTATAGCATTCCATATGACAGCTCAAACAAAGCATCTTATGGCAGTAATGGAGTTCATCAGGGACTGTTGGCCGATTCCGATCTGTTCACCAAGAGTCTCACCAGAGCTATGGAACAGGACGCAATGGATATTGCAAGGCACTTAGATCATGAAATTAATAATTTCTTCAAAGAAAGATTTGAAATTGATCTTGAGAATGAACGCTATGAGAAAATTGATGTGCCTGATTTTCGCGGTGGACGTCAAGGGCGTTTTATACACGATTTTAACATTGTGAGTCGATATCTTATAACATGCTCTATTCATGAGCGATCTTTACATATTTCAAGATTCCTATAATATCATACTTATTTACAGAATAAGACAGGCATCATAGATATTGATGGCCATTGTTGCTTTGTTATGCCCTTGAATCGTCAACGCGTATTGCCACCTCGTAATATGTATGATCTTCTTAGAAAAATGTACAATGGTGAGTTTACAATTCAATACAAATATATACAACAATATATATACATGTATAAAATATAATTCTTATATATTATATAGGTTATTATGAAGTGGATACTGCAATTGTACGTGAAACTATGAAAGTAGTCACACCACCAATCACTGACATGTCAGTCGTTGGAACATATATAGCGCGAGAATGCCAAGACTTGCCTATTTATATGCTAAAGAAAGTGGATCCTTCTAGTGGTTAGTTATCAAATTGCATATATATATTTTTTATATACGTGACACATTAATATATTTTCTTTTTTTTTTTTCAAATATTTTAGTTGTAAAACGCAGCGTGTCGAGCGGAGTGTTCGGCCAATTCGCTGGCAATAGTATTATGGAAGTTGATATCGTAAATCTAGAAGACTTTGAATGAAGCTATTGAAAGCACAATTCAGGAAATTTTCAATTATTCTAGAATATTAACCACCAGTAGTTCAATGTATAAAAGTTATATGCTGTCCAGAGCAAACTTAGGTAAATATTCTCAAATTCAAGATCGTCATCTTCGCATTTATTATATTGATATTAATATTTCTTTTTCTTGATATTTTCTTAAAACTATATTTCAGGTATACTCCCACACTTATCAAGACTCATTATGTCTTTCCATTATATTTTTTATTAGCTTTAGATCACAAAATTATATATAATGCGATTAAATCCGCGATTTGTTAGTTGTTATTAATTAGAAACATTTAATGCATCATGAGGGAGTTCTTATATTATAATGTCATGAGAGATTAAGTATAATAAGAATATAATTGAATCGTTCCAAATATGCACAAGAGGTCTGAATAAAAAAATGAAATTGTATAAAATAGAATGTCTTCTGCAAGCTGGTTTTGGTAGGGAAATTAATATTTCTTCCATGTTTGCCCCGAAATATATTGAGATGTGACAAGCGCAACATTAGTTATACCATAGTGATGAAATGTTTCGCTACTATTATGAATGTTGAGTATTCAGTTTTTATAATAGTAGAATAATCATACACCACATTGTTGTGCTTAAATACAGTTCTATGATATGTTATTATTATGTTATTATTATTAATACATCGAATTTATTTGTGAATTATTAAAAAGATTTATTGTTCATATTAGAGGCACAATGCCTTTGATAAGCTCAAAATATGCAGTACATAAACTGCTAAAATTCAGAAGATATCAGATTTGAAATAGTCTTTTAATATATCTTTTAATATTTCAGCGAGAAAAATATATCGTTTTTATTATTGTAATTATACGTAAAATACGTTACAAACATTTGTAAGATTACTGGGACTATATATATATTTTTACAAAATATTTGGATTAAAAAATAATAGAAATTACAAAGTACTGATTCAAGAGGAATCTTGGTATTCAGACATTCCTTAAAAATTGTTTACTTGTTCTGCATTTCTACATAGTGAAAAGTCACATGTTTTAATAAGTATTAATAATATATAATATTGTATTTTAAATATGTTTTATATATACCTGTGTTTTATTGTCAATTTATGAAAACTGAAATAGATAAAAATGTATTATGACTAAATACAATTTGAAGAACCAAAACTGGTACATAAGAAATACATAAGAATATATTATGACTGAGTGCAATTTTTTTATTAGTTTCTTTTGATGCATTATTTCGTAAAAATCGGTTTTATCTTTTTTATTTTTATTATGCATGTATATATCGGTAAATATATACAGGTACTCGGATATTTTTTATTCGTTAATCTTAAGTATTGCATATTATAAATATTAATAAAGTTTTGAAATATATCCTCAAATTTTTTTAAGACAGGACATACTTTAAAATAAAAAGAAGTGGCTTTGTGAACAGAATTTGAAAAAATCGAAAACTTTGGTAGCATATCAGAAAGAAAGAAAGTTGTAATAGTTTTATGTTACAAATTAATGTGTCTATGCACAGACACCATGAAATGGTGTACGAAAAACGTATCATTGCGCAGGATAATTTTTGTGTGTAAAATATTGAAATAGGATAGGTATATTAAAGAATAATTATAATATGTAATTCTAATAAAATACTGTGTCGTATCTCTAAATAGAATAAAAAAATTAAACAATCTTCATATAAAATTAAATAATTAAATTAATTAAATAATTTTTCTTTTGTAAACACAATCAAGATAATGGAAATATATACACACATTATATATATATAATATATATTCAGATCATCATGGACCGAGTGCCTGAACATTTATAATCTATTCTATATTAGTTCCATATTTACTTGTATTATTAATACCAAGAGAATGCTTGTATTATCAATTCCAATAAAAATATAAACGCGCGAATATACGTATATGCGGACCGTATGTGGCGTTTTAAATGTTTATAGGTACATAGCTCAATCACATTGGTGGCAATAAATATAATTAGTTAGTTCCACCACTTTAGATAAGGATGGAAATGCGAAATATTATTGTCAATCTACTCTTATTAGTTCTATGATATGATGCATAATCTTACCTGTGACCATGCATTTACACAAGCATTTAAACTTTTTAGGAATATTATGATTTCATCCTAAGTTTTGTGTGATTGTAGTTGAGTTCATACAGCTTATACTTTTGTCTGATTATTGAGTTTGAATTCTTTTATTCTTATAATCTTAAAAATAAACTTTGTAAAATTGTACGCAAATTAATTGTAAAATCTAATAAAGAATAAATCATATATTACATATGAATATTAGCTTTTATGCAATTGCATAATACTCTCAACCAAGATTTTATTAAAATAGAATTGGTTATATAAGCTTTTATTAACTATCTTGAACATTTATTAAATATTTATTAATAATTTGACAAATTAGTTATTAAATATTAAAAAATAAATACTTTATATGAACTATATTTCAAGGTATAATTTACAGAAAATATGTTGAAGCATTTATACTATTTGTTACTCAAATTATTAACATTTAATTAATTAAAAATAGAAATTAACATTTATACACATCTAAATTACATATATATAATTAATATTTTATAATTATAATTATTAAAAAGGTATTTCAATTATAATGTAACATTTGTATGTACTAAATCTGCTATAGCTTTTTGTCTAAGGGTATAGAGTTTTTTCACCCATTTATCAAATCTCGCTTCTTGATCCATCATAATCTAAGAAAGAAAATGGACATTACCTATATATTTATAAAATGAATTAAGAAATTCAAAGGAACTTACCGATGTGTGAAATATACTTTCTAGGCCACTAGGAATATTAGGTACTGATGGAATCTGTATAGTATCAGAACTAATGTCTATAACAATGTTCTTAAATTTATTTTCTTTGACAGCAGATGAGGTGAACTGTTTGGGAGTAAAACCTTCAGCATTTATTTCTTCAAGCACACCATCTTTAAAACGCGGTTCAATAGGAAAATCATCTAAAAAATTAATTTATATCTATTAACATCTCAAAAATTTGTCATTAAATTTAGATTTTTATTATATTAATACAAGCTGACAGTTGTACCTTTTACTGCTGCAACTTGATTCTTTTCAGCATTAAATTTTGATTGATTCGATTGCGAACTGCTGGAAGGACTTCGCGACTTGTCTCTGGAAGTGGATCTGGCTTTTCTTCTTGTGCGATCCGAAGAGTGGGATCTACCTGTATTGGTATGATAACGCCTCTTATCTCGATCTCTAGAATGACTGCTTCTGGAACCTTTATGACCCTTTGAATTCCGATCTCTTCCTCTACTTCTCGAATGTGAACGATGCCTACGTTTTGTCTTCGAATGCCTCGACGACCTTCTTCGATGAGGCGAAGATTCACTACTGTCAGAACTGCTAGATCTGAAGAAATTATCATGCAATACTACAATTTTTTTATCATTTTTTAAATGACAAAAAAAAAGTTGTAAATAATAAACGATGTTAAATCAGACAAATTGGCTAAGTTTTATCAAAAATGTCAATTAAATTTGTCAAATGCAACTGCCGGCATAATTAAGCTTGTGTAATTGCTAACCTAATGGATAGTGAAATTTTTAATTTCTCTTGTCTTTTACCTCGATTTTCGATTCCGTTTTCTTCGATATCTACTATGATCCGAGTCTGATTCACTGGAATGTCTTGCCATGTTCGTTAAAAGGAAACTTCCACGCGTTTTTATTAAGCTTTCTGTGTGTATTTAGAGGTTAGAAATTATAAAACGTCAGATCGCCCTCTGGACATTAAAAACGTGAACATGAACTATGAAGTCACAGTCCACGAATGTTCTCAGAGGGTAACATAATCTGTACAATTTCTGGTTTTGTTCCGTGCTACACATCATTAAGTCGGGTTGCCCATCATTAGGGGCATACTTTATTAGACTCGCTGAATAAGATTAGAATGTGAGTTCAACGGAAAGTAAAATAAAAGGAAAGGAAAATCTTATCATTTTATTATAGTAAATAAAAAAATGTAATATAGATAAAATATATATTTAATAATATATATTATATATATATGTAATATATTTTTTAATAGCATAGAATATAAATAATAATAATATATGTAAAATATTCAATTCTAATAAATTGACAAATTTGTCTAATAACACATTACAACATTTAATTATAATTTAATTTAATTAATAATAAATATTAATATATATTAACATATATTAATAACGTAAATTTAATAAATAAATTTGAACAAATATAGTAAAAAATATAATAAACAAATATAATAAAATATACTTATGATGACAAATATTTTTGATCTTTAAATGTAATAAATTATGATAAATGTTCAAGATATCCACCATCTTCATCTAAACATAAACCAATCCTGCGCATGAAATTTTCTTTCACGAGACTTCTCATGAGAGAAGTGATATCTGCACATGCGTTATGAATTCTATTTTGAAGAATTTCTGCATTTTCCGGCAGGATGTAATATATTTCATATTTTAAGATATAAAATACTTCTATAATTTAATAATCCGCTCGTGTATATTTTATAGTATATAAAATATTATTATTAACGAATTAATAATAACATAATGTTCGACTTTTACAACGTAGCGTGCTATTATTTGTACGTTATGGTTTTTCTATCATTTGCTCGATGATATTCGAGCAGTAAAATAATATAAATAAATAGATAAATTAAATATAAAGATAAAATATAAATATATACTTATTCCGAATGATGTAAAAAATCATGCATGATAACTGTTATAAATTCAAAATAATTATATTATTATATTTATATATTCACAACTATATATTCACAACTAATTATAGAGGATATTACTCGCGTTTCCTCTTTCACTCATAAATTTTATAATCAGTTTGTAATTATTGGTTATATATAATGTCGAAAATTAATTATATTTCTATGTTGAAAAAAATATTGTTTATACATATATATATATATATATATATATATATATATATATATATAATCGCAATTATTAGGTTTCGCTTCTATTACTCAAAAACACAAATTAAATATATCATTATATTACGTTGTTTACAATTATAAAAACGGAAGTGATATTTTTTAATAATCAAATCAATTTAGAAATGTTCTAAAAATATTTTTTCTATATTAAGATTTATTGAATCGTTTGGAAACTAAGATAAACATTAATTTAATTATATCGGCTAAATAATATCGACTGGACTCAATAAGGCATCTTCCGTGTTCTTTCTAAATGCTATAATATTTTTCAGACAAAGATTAAAATTTGGTCTGGCATTTGCTGTTTTCCAGCAACGCAGCATCAACTGGTACAACGTTGACGGACAGTTAGGAGTCATCGACAACCTGCCTCCAGCACGTACATAATTTGTCACTTCTTCATTAGTCTTGGTACTATAAGGTTGTTCACCCAACGATGTAATTTCCCACATTAATATTCCAAATGACCAAACATCGCTTTGAGAAGTAAATATTCCCATTATCAAAGATTCGGGTGCCATCCAGCGAATAGGAAACAAACCTTCTCCTTTCTAAAACATGATTTAAACAAAAATTTAATTTTCTGATTTAAGTTCTTGATTTCTAGAATGTGTGCAAAATCAAAAACGTTAATTTATCTCTTGCTATATATAAATAAAATCTACTTATATTCTATATTACTTAAAAAAATAATGCATGATACTATTATGATAAAAAAATAGAAAGTATTTTTAGAAGAATTCATTTTTTAATTATTAACTTTTTTCCATAATTGTATATACCACGCGATAATAATCATCCTTGTAGATATCTCTAGCTAGTCCAAAGTCTCCAATTTTGATGACACGATTCTCTCGATTCCTCGAAGACACTAAACAATTGCGACACGCTAGATCTCTATGTACGAAACGCAACTCTTCCAAGTAGCAACAACCTCGCGCAACATCTTCGCACATGGCGAGCAAATCCTGCAAACGCAGAGCAGGCGAATCTGATGCTTCCAAATTTCGACAATCTCTCAAATATTGTAACAGATCTGTTTCCATCAATTCCAACACTAATAACGGAGGATCCCCATCTAAGCAAATGGCCAACAATCTTAATATATGTTTGTGTTGAAAATGATTCATAAGCTTGGCTTCCTTTAAGAATTTCTCTTTCTCACGGGAAGTAGCATCTTTTCGAAGCGTTTTTATTGCAACGGACATCTCTGTGCCCGATTTTTCTAAATCCTTCATCTTTCCTTGATACACCTGTGAAATATTTCACACAAATTTACATGCGTACTTTATTAGAAAATGTATAGTTTAATGTCAAGTAGTATTATATTTTACTTTATATTAAATAATTCAATGAAAAATATATAATAAAGTTCATGCTTGTTGTCTCATGTAAATTTTATATCACTTATAATCTATTAAAAAAATTTATGTAATATATATCTTTATTAGAAAATACGTATCTGTTTTGTTAATCCAAAAATTAATTTGAAATATTGCTTGAAAAAATTAATTTTTACCATTCCGAATGCGCCGCTACCAAGATGTTTTGTGAATGTAATTTGATTTCGTGCGATTTTAGTTATCGTACATTCATCCGGGTTATAATGTAACATAGGACTGTAAAGCATATTGAATTGAGTGTTTCGGCAAGGTACTTCATGTAGAATCGCCAATCCGACATTGGTCGTTGTTGAAGAAAAAAATTGTTCACTATTACCTCTGCGTTGACGATATACTGTTGTAAAATTTCAAGTTAATTATGTAATAATATGTATTATAAAATCCACTGTTTTTTAGTAAATTTATTTGTTTAGTTTTATATAAGTAAATTACTATTTTTAGTAAAGTTTTAAATAATGTATCAGATATATATGTATAATCTACAATTCAAGTCGATACCTAAATCAAATATACTTACAATAATAAAAGCAGCAGATTATAGTAATTATAACGATAAAACTTAACATGAATAATAAGTAATATTTTTTCGCTATTATTCCAGAAGTGTTCGAAATATCTATATTAAGCAAAAATATAATTTTAATATCTTTGTCTATGTTTTTACGTGTATGTTTTTACAAATTTAATTTTACTTATAACTTTAATACAAAATATAATTTTTTAAATTTTAAGCATATTCATATCTAAAAAAATTAGAACATAATATTTATGCAGCACAGAATATTACAACTACTTTGTAACAATATTGCAATATTACAAATATATTCTCTTTTTATTTACGAATACAATATTAATCTTCAAAGATAATATATGTTTTTATTAAGAATAGATACTATTATATCTATTATTATATTTTTCTATGCATTTTTATGCATTTTTCACATGTAAATAAATACAAGGTGAGTTTTTTATTTTCAGACATCATATTTCAGAAATATCTCAAGAAATACGCATCGTACGAAAAAATGTCCGTAATAAAAACTTTATTTTCTAGGGAGAAAACCGACCCCGCGAAAATTAAGTCCCCCTCCATCCCAATGATTTGCAATATTGCAATGATTCAATGAAATTATTCTTCAATATATCTGCAATCTTATTGTGCTGTATAGGTATTTTCATTTGCTTACCACGTGTTGAAAAAATAAATCTTTCATCAGTCGGCCATGTAAAATTTTCCTTATATTCGGGATATCTCAATATCAAGCGAAACTTGTATAAAGTTCCCGATTGTAAATTTCCGATATGATATATTATTTCTTTGTTATAATTTATTTTAATATAATTCGTTGTTTGCCACTTTTCTGTTGCATTCTCTTTGTACTCTAGTGTAGGAGGGATCGTAAAATAGATGTTTGGGATCCATGAAATGTTCATGCTATTTATATCGACCTCGCTCAAAGTAATATTGTTTGGTTCTGAGTATATGCGAACGATCGTTCTTAAACTGTCGCTGTAGAAATCGCTAAAATTAATTGGATACACACGCACGTATATCAAGTAATCTTGTACTGGTAGCGACAAGTTAATCTTTGTGAAAAATCTGCCGTCTGCCATACGTTTCGGCACATTGATAAATTGTTTGCTCTTGTGTTGCATGCCGTTGTTCATTAACATAATTGACTTCCAATGCACCTCGTAGGCCGCGCAGCTCAATTTCTCGTGCATCCAATGAACTACTGCTGTAAGAGGCGTCAAAGCTAGAACACTTATGTTTAGAGGTGCATTAAGCTTAATTTTTATTGGTATCACATTCGAATCGTATGGATTTATTGATAATTGATTAAAGTAAAAATTGCTTAAAATAAACTTCAACTTATACTCTGTACATGATGTTAAGTTTTGAATTTCGTAATATCGCTCGCACGTCACATATCGCAGCACATTGGATTTCTCAGACTTGTTGAGATTGTTGTCTAACCAGCTTACGGAGATAGTATATATAGTAGTTGGTAAATTATATTTTTTGCATCCACTCTTTACAACCGGCTCCGGAAGATTCACACTGATGCTGTTTGTTGTTGCATTCACATTCTCAAAATTATAAACTTTCTCGTCAGGTGTCAGGCATCTCATTGGAGGATATGGTTGATCAAAAGTGCGAATTTCATAAAATTTCTCATTTCTTAAGCTTATTATCTTTTCATTATTATATTCGACTGCATTTACGCTCTTGAGACTTGCATATTTCTTGTTCAAAACATATATATGCGTAGCATAATCATCGATGGTGGTATATATTAAAATGTAAATGTTTGTTTTGCCAATCGTCATAGATTCGAAGTAGATGTTATCACTCATGTTTTTCTTGTGTAAAATCTTACTGCATATAGAAACGTTAATGTCTGTCACAAATATGCGATCAGAAAATAACCAGTAAATTAACGGCTCCTCATTATTCATGTTATCAATTATCATATCATGAAGAGATATATTTTTATTATAAAATGGTAACAAGGATGTATTTAACGGAACAATTTGTTTAATTTTTCTATCGAGATGATATTTCATTATATTATATTCTCTACTTATGCTATTGTAAAATAGGGAATATAAAATTCTGAAAAATATATAATTATTTTACTCACTGTAAAACATTATTTTAACAAAAATACTTTGTATGTAGTAAAAATTGAAACTTGTATGTAGTAAAAATTCGAAATTCTTATAATTATATAATAACTTATTATTTTGTTTACTTGTGATCTTAATTATAAAACCACGTAAAATTATAGAAAAATTATAAATATGCATAAATCTTTAATGGAAAATTATTTTTTCAGGTGAACGGTAGTAAACGTACCCCATAGACGGTAATACTCTTAAATCGCGAATATCATTATCACTTTTGAAAATCTCATCAAATTTAATTATGCCATTTTCCCACATTGTTAAGTCGAACTTTATAATATAAAAGTAGGCTGACTCATCATACTTGTGACACGTGAAATATACATTTCTTGCTACCCAGTCAATGCAGAGATTATAAAAGTAATTTATTGGATAACTATAAAAGCTAGGTATTTTTGTAATATTATTTTCATTAATCTTTAATATGAAGAGATTTTTTCGTTTTATGAAATAAATTCTATGTTCTTGTATCGAATAAGCGACATGTTGTACATATCTGAAAAAAAGGAACTATAATTGTAGGAAAGGAATTATAATTGTATAGTAAAAAGTTATAGTTGAAATTTCTAATTTTATAGTTATTACTGCTATAATGTTGATAATAATGAACTTGTGCATAATAATAATAACTTTAATTTTATACTTAATGTTAAAAATAATTTATGATAATTAGAACTATTTTTTTTATCAGTATACTTACTCTGTACCCTGTGGCAATAACCAATCAGTAATGTTTAAATCCATGTCCAATATGTGGACATCTTCTGCCGATGTGACTAATAATTTAGGAATTGGATTTTCATGTGTAGTCGACACATTGATTAAATCCGTGTAAAGACCAGCAACAATTTTAGTATGCGCACGTACTCGAAAATAATATGTCGTGTTAGATGTTAGATTGTGCACCGTGTGCTCCAATTTTATAGTTGTGATATTTTTATCATCGCAGATTTGAATCTCTTTTAAGTTCTCGATGAAAAAACATTGCACTGTGTATCCCTGTATTATTTCATCGGTAAATTCAGGTTGGTTCCATCTGTAAAAACATAAAATTTTAGTCATTTTACATTTATCAAAATTATAACAGAATTAAAATTTTGATATATTTATATGTCGTTGAATTTAAGAAAAAGACAGAAAAATAAAAGAATACAAATTCGGAATTTAGATTTCTTACCTCAATGTCACAAAAATGTCGTTTACTATAAATTGACTGTCGAATTGTACAAATGCTCTGAGAGATGTTGGCTTGCTTTCTAGAGATTTTAAGAGCGTACGTATTAACATAATTATATATAAGATTAAGTGAATTATCTCAGAAAACAAAAATATAATGTGAAAATAAAGGAATAAATGTAAACTACAAAGAAATAAATGTAAACTACAAAATACGGAAATTAGCACAGTATTGACTTTTAAAAAATAATATAAGAATTTTTTGTGTCATTTAAGATTTAGAAAAGTAATCGTTAATTCATGGCAAAAACGAATAAATAACATTTAATAAAATGACAAGTATTTTTCGATAAATTCCTATAGTTTAAGAAATCAGAGGTATAATATTTGCGACTGCTTTAAAACGGAGTATCAAATTAATAAAATTGACTTTACTTTAAATTATGACAATTTTTATGTATACTGTTATATATATATATATATATATATATATATATATATTGTATATATATATATTATGCTTTTTTATTTCTTTTTTGGACGGAATAAAATTTATATTCTTCTTACTACTGGAAAATATTTTTGATTTCCATTCTCTCTTGAATTTAAATTATATTTACACTTTCTCATCATAGATTTTGTTATTAATGTTTTATGCATTTCTTTGCAACTTACCGATAGATTCTGGGGTGATAGAAATATTTGCAAGTGGAACCTCATCGACTTCTCGCTCATTTCTCACAGTCATACTATCAGAATAACTCCGATCAGATTTAAAATTTAGTATATGCTGATCACTTTTCTCGGACATTGAAATATCCTTCATAAAGTATAACATACGAAAATATTTAAGTGAATATTATGTCGTTGAAGGTTGTTTTTATTGTTAAATTATATAAATTATAAAATTAAACGAAAAATTGCCATTTGTTTTTTGTTTGCTGAATAATACTGGTATATACCATTCCTAAATAATAAATTGAATGTGATGTAGTTTTATTCATATCGTAAAATCTATTTTTTTTTTATTTTTAAGGCATCTTATATATCTAACATAACTCATGTCAAAAATAAAATCAATCAATAGGTTAACAAGAGTCAATGAGGAATCATAACAGCTTTTAGTACAGCAAGTACTACAAGCGAAAGTGTAGCTCTTTGCAATTATTAAAACAATTTTGTCAAATGATTTGATTTTTTCTCACGATAAGTTAGTTAACTCTTCTCAATTTTACCAATTTTAACAGTTTTACGTAATTCAAATTTCTTTTCAAAAATTTGCCGATATTACTAAAGTTTTATTAATGTTTGTACTTCAAAAATAAAAAAAGTTTCAAAAATAAAAATATTGTTTCTTTATAGTTATTAAATATTAGTCATAGAATTATATAAATTCTTTTATTTATAACTTTTTCAAGTTTTTTCTCGAATATCGTTATATTTTTAATACAAACAAATTCTGGAAATGATAGTATGAACCGATAGTATAAACCGATAATGCCTCCATAAAAATATGTGGATATAATTGTATATAAATGGATATATGTACAATGAAAATTAATATAAGTTCGAGTGATTATTATTGAATATATTATTGTCGATCGAAATATCAGTGTTAATAGATACAACTTGAAGAATGTTTGATGAATGATTCTTTTATAGACAGAGTTTCTATCTCGATATTTAGTAACTCTGTTTCGTTATATAATTATCCTTAACACAAAAAAATGATGCTAACTTTCTAACTTAATTTCATAAAATAAAATTTACATTAATATAAAGCTTACTATATATCATTAAATATGATATATATCTAGGAAAATAAAGAAATTTTGAAAATTGAAGAAAAATAACATAAAAATCTGTTGAAGCGCCATCGTATGTATATTTTAATGTAGCAGATAGTAGACAGAAAATTTCATTAATTTTAAAAATTGTTATTTTTAGAAATAATAATTATATATGTATATGAAGAGAGAGAGAGAGAGAGAGAGAGAGAGAGAGACAAAATAATTCAGTCAAATTTTAAAATACCGTTTTAATTAAATTTAATATACTATATAACATCTATTTGTAAATAAAATTTGGAAACTTTATCCATCTTTTTTTTACAACATTGTACTTTTTTCTTTCATATTGAATTGTTTTTTTTAAATCTTATCCTATCATAGGTAGAATATATAATTTATTACCATTCATTTTTAGTTACACTATTGCAATAACATTGAATTATTTCTTAATCAAGCGAAAATATCTTTTACCTGCGTGAAATTTATATACGGATACATGGAAACATTTTCTTCTTGGAGGATGTTCGAAGTAATATCAACCTTCGGCGTATTAGTTGCTTTTGTCAATATCAAACTTTTCAATAAAACACATAATATTGTTCCGAACATAATTTGCATTTTTCGTAAACGTTTGCACTCAATCGGTTTCCGATGAATCCTAAATAAGTTGTTTTTCTCACACTACTAGTTCTGATGTGTTAATCGAATTGATATTAATTCATATATATATATACATATATTTTCGTTAAATTCATATATATACATATATTTTCATTAAATTCCTTAAAACTCAGTTTTAACGAATCGCAAGTTATTATCTTTTAATATTATGTTTTTAGATTTCTCTTTATGGTCGCGATCACAGTATATATTTTAAGATTAAATTAGAGAATTCTTAGTAAGTAAATAGTTTTTATTTTTGTTGTAGGAGAACAAATGACAATGCAAAATGATATATATTCATTGGAATGTATCGCGAATATAAAAATATAATTATTATCGGCTTTTCGTTTTCATTAATATTATAGTAGAAAAACATCGATAAAAAGATAAAATTACAAACGATTAAAGAAGTTATAGAATTATAGATTTTGTAACATTTTCAGTCAAATTCAAGCACACGCAGCGTGTATTCAATTTCACTTAAGTATTTACTATATCTTTGATTTTATTAAATATATAATTATGACGATTCGTTCGTACGATTGTGTTAATACGTATGCTTTTCAAAATCCACTATTTGTACACAATTTTTTGTAATATTCATATGATGCAGTTTGAATCAAGCTATAAGTAGCGGTAGTGTGTTTTGCTAGCGATCACAATAGTAACTGGCTTCGAATGATCAATCTGTTGCCATGACGTCTTATTAGCTTCATTCAGTTTGTAATTTATTTTTCTCCACTCGCGGAGATACTCGCGTTATTTCAAAAAGAATTAAAATGTTTAAAAATTGTTTGACAAAAAAGTTATATATGTGTAAAACTAAAATAGTTCTATCTATAAATAAGAATAATTATATGTATATATAATTGTTTAATGAATTTTATTATAAACTTTTTATATTAATTTATTTCTGAGTATCTTCTCTTTAGCATAAGAGGCACGTTTACTATATAAAAAGATATTCTGATTATAAAAAAAGTAATAATGGATTTAAAAAAGTGATTTATACGTTTTCTGTAACATGCATGTAATGCAGTTTGAATTAATAGCGTAGCATTTTTAATATAAATCTAGTAGTTCTAGTATAAATAAATATAAATTTCCAATAGCATAAATAATTAAAATAATTGTACGAGTTATTATTATCGTTATTTGCATCGAATAACCTTATAATGTAATAACGTATATAATATAATTTTATCTAATATTAACTTAACATAATATACTTAATATAATATAAAAAACGTATAATGTTAATTACATTATTATTTTAATTATACTATTGTAATTTTATATACGATAATTTTTATATTCTCCAGTGCGAATTAGTGCATTCAATCAAATTCTCTCTTTTTCCTGCTATAAATCAATTACTTTTTCCAAAAAAGTGATAAATACTTAAATTACGTAAAATATAATTGAAAATAATTTTGTAATGCTCCGATCTCCTTTTGTGACTTATTCAGTCCATTCATATATTAATTGATATACAACATTTTTATTTTTAAAAATATTTTTATATTATTAAAGAAACATTCTGCTGAGAATAATTAAGAATAATTCTGTGTGTTAAGAATAACTAAGTATAATTAAACAAATATTTATGTAATGGTCTCTTTTTAAATTCATGCATAGTAATAGACGTATTTTTAAATATTTTATAAATTTATAAAAATTTATTCCTTCCACAGCAATGATATATGTATGTTTTCGTACAAAGATTTATATGTACAGTTTGAAATAAGAAAAAGTTCAAAAACATAATATAAAAAAAGCTTGAAAAGAAAATTACAAATGTGTATTAACATTTATGAAAGTGTGCAGATCTTATATAATATATAAAGTACAAAAATACACATGTTGAATATCTAATAAGTATCGTAAGAAAACAAACATTCAAGTATTAGTACATGCATATCCATCTACAATTTATTCTTCATTAACTAACAATAAGTTATTTATGTCGGTTAAACAATACATATAACAATAATATTTATTGGATTCAATATATCATCTCTTCTACGTCACTTCTTAGAACTATAATATTTTCGAGACAAATTGAAATTTGATTTAATTTTCGCTGCATTGCAACAAGACAGCATTGATATCAAATCGACAGTTAACCTTTAATTATCATTTGTTAATAGACTACGTAACACAACGTTTTATGACACGTGGCTGTCGTCAATAAATAACTTAAGATATGCTATGATGCCCGAGGTAGCACGCATTCGTTTTATATATGTTTCTTAAACGTATCCATATTCCAACGTATCCAATATTTTTTAATCGTAAGACATTAATAAGAAACGTTTTTAAAACCATATAGTTAACAAAACATATTTTTCACGTTTCTAATATAGACAAATAAAACTAATTTTTGTTAATTTCAAATTATATATACATATATACATATATATACATACATACATATATATACATATATATATATATATATATATATATATATATATATAATTATTACGAAAACTATATTAATTTCTATTATAACATCCAACACAGTACCAAGTCGTCTAAAAGTACTACTAAAACTGGACATTTTTTTGTCACAGCCATCTATTACTGACATCGTTAAGTCAACGAAAAGATGGCTAAAAGTCGTCTCATGATCCGAATTCAGTGACTTTTTAATCTTGTCCATATGTTGACTAAAAGATGACTTGATTCATTCTATATAGATTATCGACACTCGGTAGTAGAAATACTTCAATACACACAATAAATGGACTAATTCTCATTTATCCGCCTAATTTATAATAATCTGTTTAATATTCTGAATCTCAATAAGAAATCCAGATTATTAATAAATTATATAAATAAATATATATAAATAAATTATTTTAAATTCAATTTGTCAGAAATTAAACTGATAAACAGTAATGTCAGGAAAAAGATGCGGCTCACATGCATACAATGCATAGCACACGTATGTGGCTCTCTCTGATTGATGCGTGCGAGCAGTATCCTCATTACTGCTCGTAAAAGGCAAAAATATGCTTCAAATTTTATATTAATTACTAATTCTTTATATACATTTCGTAATAAATATTAAATACGAGAAAAGTTAAGAGTGGCTTGCCGTGTAGCGGCAAGCGAAGATACACGTGCCACATACTATTATGTCTCTTTTATGTCATCTTTTTCGATAAAGCGAAAAGATGTCTTCATAGACATCTTTTCGCTTTGTCAAAAAAATAACTTAAAAAAGACATCTTTTCGTTATCTTTTAGTATAATATACTATGTGGGGTGCTATTGTTTGTATGTTATGGTATTGCTATCATTTGCTCGATGACATTTGAGCAGTAAAGTCTAGAAATTTTCCCCGATCTGTGGCCGTAAAGTAATATTCTCTATTATCTAGGGGTAGTTAGATTTATTTATATTGCGATATTTTGCAATATTTTGCGATATTTATGGGCGCAGTGTAATATTAATTATCTACGGATAGTATAGATTTAATTACAATGCGATATTTTGCGATATTTTGCGATATCTTGGAGTGCAAAGTATTATTTTGTATCTAGGAATAGTTTAGATTTATTTATATTGCGATATTTTGTGATATTTTGTGGCGCAGTTCTCTAAAGAAAATATCTAAAATAGTGATGCAAAATGCTTTCCATGTTAATTAATTGAAAAATAAATAATCGTTTAATTAATCTATAAATTTGAAAACTTCTACAATTTAATATTTTCATATATACGTATATGTTATAACACATAAAATATTTTGACAATGAATTATTAGTAACACTGTGTTCGACTTTGACAATATAAACAATATAAACATTAGCGCAATTTTGTTTATATGTCACGGCTTCGTTATGATTCGCATGGTAACACTCGAGCAATAAAGTAATGGTTCGAAACGCTTTGCATATTATCAAATATTTTTTCTAAATAAGGTTTAAATTAGTATCAAAACATAATTTGATATAATTATTAATAATTATAAATTAATTAACTTATGATAAAGAACATGAAACTGTATCGCAACGATAAATCTTTATTGAATCGCAATCATTAATTACTGCGAATAAAAATTGAAAAAGGGAACATAAAAGGGGATAAAGAAATTAATTTTATTATGATCTTTCGATTATTAATACTTATTATAATAATTTCTCTAACGATACTTATTAAAATTAAATAAATTTCGACCAATGCTTTAAATTTTCTTAATCGGCAATTATTCATAGTATATTTTTCAACGACGTTTTATGACTTACGATCATTCGCACAATAAAGTAGTGACGTTTCATGTATTATCAAATTCTCTCTCTACATAGTCAACCTTGGCGATATAAACAGTATCGCGGTAATGTTTTTGACTTACGATCATTCCCTCGGTGGCCTTCGAGCAGTGAGGTAGTAATGTGAAACGTTCCATATATTATCAAATTCTTTCTCTAATAATTATTTTGAGCATTGCTTTATATAATAGATTTTCTCTTATATTTTATATTTTTATTTATCATTTATATTTGCAAATTAAAATTTATCTAGTATATTACAAAATTAATTATATATTATATTATATATAAAATTACTTATAATATAATATAATCCTCCCATGGGGTACACCTTGTCGCGGTGGGAGGGCTTAGTACCTGGATGGTGCCTTGAGATTTATCTCAAATTTTTCAATTTATGATAAATCTTAAGGTGCCTGAATGAGAAGCTAAGTACCCTTTCGCGTCGTCGATGCCATCAACGTGCCGCGGACGGCAAGCGCTTCGTCACGCGTCGCGTTAGGTATATACATCGCGCGATCAAATATTTTATATAGATTTTTAATCGCATCGAAATAGTGCGGGAGTGCCGTTCAGTATTGCGCGTAAAATAACGAAAATAGCGGTATAAAAATATCGCTCGCGAATGCGGGAGTGTCATTAAGAGTATCGCGCGCCAACAACATGAGAGGAGGAGGAGGCCTGGAAGAGGCGTCAGGCTCGGGCAGAGCAACCTTGTGGTAAGCAATTTATTTATTTGTAATTTGTAATTGTATTATATATTAAATATTAAATATATTTATTGTACTTTAAATTAAACTATTAATCGCAATAATTAATTTGATGTTTTTATTTATATTTTTTATTTATATTTAAATAAAAGAGAATTAAAGAAAAAGATTTTTAAATTAAAGCTATAATCTTGTAAAGATGTAAGCTTTTATAAAGTTATAAGTGAATTATTAATAATGTTTTTTAAAATTTATAAAATTATTTTATTAATCTGCTATTATTATATGCTTCGAATATAAAATTCAAGAGAATTATTTCTTATCGGTTCTTGTAAGATCCATTCGTGACGTCTAATTCGGTGAAAATTCGGTCTAATCCCGTTGAAAATTGGGGATTTTTATTGTAAGATTGAAATTAATCCCAGATTTTCCTGGCAATTTCCGAAAGCAATAATTTCGGCAGTAATTTAATGATCGCCGTACGCTTCTTTAACGTTGAATTAATTTAAATAACATATACTTAGATGAGAGAAATGTATCTTTTCTTTTCTTCGTTAAAAATGTTCTGTCATTATTAGGATTGGTATTATTATTGTCTAATACCAGAAAGATTTAATAATAGATTGAATATGGATATAGCTATTGTGCATAAATTTCTATTTTTCTAAATTTCTATTTCAAATAATTTCATATTATAATTAGCTTTTATTAACTTTTATGATAAAAATGATTACGGACGAATATATTTTATTAATTAATAATTATTTACAGGTATTGGATTTACAAGTATTAATAACTAATTGTAATATAATTATTTACAGGTATTGGACATCGCCATTTTAGAATATTAGTTTTTATATATATGTATAATAAAATACATGCTCAAATAAACGTATCCAAAATATTTTTATAATATTTATTAATATTATATATACGCGAAATTATACATGAATGTTACATCAAATGTGCGAATGCTTAAAAATTTCGAGACGAATCGAATGGGTACCTCTATATCAGCAAGATATTAAAAGAAAAAAATTATTAATTTAAACGTTATAAGAATAAGAAGCTAGAGAATTAATCTAGAATTAATTATATATTTTAATTATATATTTAAAATTATTTCATTTATTTTATTTTGTACACTATTCGAATTAAAATTTTTTAAATCTTGCTGTTATCGGATTCGATTCGTCTTGCGCGTGCGAACGGTACCCTAAATTGTGTTCGCACATTTAACACAAACTTCAATGATGCATGTATTTCATTATTTAAAAATATAATCGTTCGTAATCACATTTCTATAAAAAAATTGTTATATCCATTTAATTTTCAATAAAGAAATATATTTCTTAATAATGGAAGAACATGTTTTCTGTGCATATCAATTTCATGAATTGATAATAACGAGGGATAATTGTCGTTGATTTATTACTGAAATCATTGCTATCGGGAATAGTCCGGAATTCGTTCCTTGCTACAGTGAAGTTCCCGGAACATTCAATGGATCACTTAATTTTTCTTCGTAAATTGATCTTGTGAAATCTGATGTAGAAACAAGATATTAATTGTTCTCCATTTTTAAAATCACTTCTCTTTTTACCAAATATTACTGGTATATCACTCGCGTATCTGCAATTTAATATTTTGAATATTATCAATTTATTTATTACGTTTTATCGCGAATTTTAAATTTGTCTTATAAAAATTCGCAAGTAAATCGGTCGGTGAATTATATATTTGCAAACATCACAGACCTCAAATGATTGTCGAAATATCTTTGATTTTCTATATTTAAATAATAATAATTATATCGCTCTCGTGTCTATTGAGAGCTTTGGTTATTATATCATAAAAATTATACGTATCTCGATCAAGTATTCCGCATATTATCGACTTATTTATTCGTCGCGTCTTCTCGCGAATTTTAAATCGCGATTTATCTTATAATTTATTATTATCTTATAATTTAATCGTTGACTTATACATCGAAACGTTGTCTATCTTTCCACGTCTAAATATTGTTTGTAATAGTTCGCCCAAAACGCGTTAGTAGTGCAAATATTTTTTTCTATAATTTAGAAGACATTCGGTAATTTTATTAATGACTTTTAATCGCGATTGTTTTACATTATTTAAATCTTATTAAGCTCTGCTATTACATCAACTATTAGAGAGACTTTGATAAAATCGTTCGATCCGTTATTCTCTATAAACGTGGCCATAATGAGATTTTTTAATGATATTTTAAACTTTATAAAGTTCATTTTATCTTATTTAGTTAATCATGCGCAATGGTATATGTATTTTATTCTCGATCGCGAAATTCGTATAAAGTCGAATATTGGTCGCAAATAAATTGAACAAAATTTTATATTCATAAACAATACGGACCACAAATATTTATCAAAATATCTTTGTGTATCATCATTCGTATGATAATAATTATGTCGCGCGCGTATCTATTGATGAGTTCGATTATGATATTATAAAAATTATGCGTATCTCGTAACCGAATATTCGATTATTGTCGATTTATTTATTCGTCGCGTTTTCTCGCGAATTTTAAATCGTGATTTATTTTGTAATTTAATCTTTGATTTATGAAGCTTGTTTTATCTTTACGCGTTTTGAATATTTCTTTTGATGGTATACACCAATAATGCAAATACTTTCTTCAACAATCGAAGAAATGATCAATAATTTGATTAATGACTCTTTTGATCATGATTATTTACATTTATATAAAACTAATTAAATTCTATTATTGTATGTCGATTATTAATAATAAAAATCGCGTAATTAATTACTACAAATCAGTCTTGTCGCCTATGTAAACATTTTTAATAAATTTTATATTATACGTATACTTTGGAGAGACACTTTCGTGTAATTCTGTGTAATAAATTTTATTTTGTATTAAATTTCAAATTATAGTTTATATTAAATTTGTATTACATTTTGTAATATATATTTGTAATGTACATTGTATATTATATATTCTGCATTAAATTTTATAATATAGTTTGAAATATATATACATATATGTATATGTATATTTGTAATGAAATTATTTTTATGTTACATAATTTAATATTTTTTAATGTGTACTTTATGTAATTGCAAATTAATTATAATTTACGTTGTAAATATTATAATTATGTAATATATATATATAATATTCTCTGTTTGGAAACTTTGCATTAAAAGAAAATAAAAATAAAATTAAAAAAAATTTTCCTTAATGTATCTCCACCTTAATAAAGACATTTGTCGAGTGAGGAGGTTTCAGTATTCTCATCAACCTGAAAGCTATGCTGGCGATAACATACGCCGATACTATATAGAATATAAACTATTTTTATATTTACAGTGGCACACACATACATATAGGTAAATAATTTATAAAAATTATTTTTATTATTTATTATATTTATATATTACTTTCAAAACAAATGAATTAATTGTTTTATAAATAATCAATTAAAGAATCTATAAATATATTAAAATTTTTCTATAATTTAATATTCCGCGTGTAAATTATATAATGCATAGAATATTTCAGAATAGTAACGCGTTATTTATATATTACGGTCTCGTTGTCATGTGCGTATATATGTGTGTGTGTATAGAGAGAGAAAGAAAGAGAGAACCACAAAATTTTACTTAAAAAATTAAAATTAAGAATTTATTTATATTTATATAGACAAGCGTCTTGCTATATAGCACTGGTGCTACCGGTGCACTTCGCCATTTGCACGTAGCACGGAACAAAACCAGAAATTGTGCACTATATGTTACCCTCTGAGAACATTTGTGGCTTCGTAGTTCACATTTTTAACGTTCACAGAGGGCGTATCGCTTTCAGGAATGATCTAAAAATCTCCTAGCAAAGTCAAAAATTGTCAAGGTACGATCGAAAATCTTATTTGTAAAGTACAGTAACGCCCAATTGACCAATCAGGATAAAAGAAGCACAAATTTCTTTGTTCTGATTGGTCACTTAAATATCACTCTACACGAATAGGATCTTCAAATGTCAACGCAGTGTCTGACAGTCTTCACGATCGTTCGTCGTACAGTTGGATTTAAGGGTTGGTGTTAAGAGCGATTATATTTGACGGGATTTACGCGTCTAAATTTGTCCGATATGCCGCCTGTCGACAGTTCCCCGAGAGGAAACATGGGCGGATTTCAGCAAATATGTTCGCTAAAAGTCAACGATACGATTCCGTTCCATATGTACAGATCCACGAATACCGGCATTACAATTTGTATCGCAGAGGTAGATGGACCAGTTGTCAGCGGCTATTTTAACCTGGGTAATTGACATACGCATATTTAGATTAGAAATAATTTTGTAAATGCTTGTTGATGTCAACTCTTTCGACAATGAAAAGATTGTTAATCTGTTTTTATTTCCATCAATTCAGTCACCGAAGCATTTGATGATGATGGTCTTCCTCACACATTGGAACATCTTATCTTCTTGGGGAGCGAGGAGTATCCTTACAAGGGCCTGTTGGATCTCTGGGCTAATAGATGCCTTGCATCTGGCACTAATGCTCATACATGTTCGGATCATACTTATTATACTATGACAACAGCTGGTAGCGAAGGATTCCTCTCCTTAATGCCAATATATCTTGAACATATTCTTTATCCTACTCTTCCGGTAAGATTTTAATAATTTTTATTATATAAGAGTAGCAATTTTTTAATATAAATTATGAGGTGTTTAATGCTTCTGTATATTTTGTTAGGATGCAGCGTTTCTTACAGAAGTACATCATATCACTGGTGAAGGAAAAGATGCTGGTGTAGTTTACTGTGAAATGCAAGGTAAAGAAAATACAGGAGAATGTATAACACTTACAGAATTATCAAAAGCGATGTATCCTGGGAAATGTGGATATAAATCTAATACTGGAGGTATATATGAAAATTTATACATGATTGAATCGCAAACTTTGTATTTTAAATATTATTTATCTTTAAATAGGCGCGTTGAAAAACTTGCGAGAAAGTACTAATAATGAGAAAGTTAGACAGTATCATAAGGATTTTTATAGACCAGAAAACTTGACTGTATTTATAGCAGGTCAAGTAAAACATGCTGATGTTTTCCAAGCATTAATGCCCTTAGAACAAAAAATAATATTGAAGGTATGCTAAACTTGATTTTAACATTATTAATTTAATTTCAAATTGTTAATTTTATAAGTTAATAACATAAAGATAGTGTAGGATAAAGACAGACTATTACAAATTATTATTAAAGGTTATTAAAAATATTATTAAAAATTAATACAAGTATATTTTATACAAATATATTTTAGATACAAATATTACAATATTTAATACAAGTATATTTTAGAGATATATATATAATCTTGACATTATTTTAATAATTTTTAAATTTACCATAATCTTAATATTTAATTTATATTTTCTTATATTTATATATTTTTTTTAACTTTAAAATTATTAAATTGAAGGGAAAAAGGGGTTCATTTAAAAGGCCTTGGCAGACTGTAGTTGAACCACTTACAAAAAGTATGGATCTAGATGTCTATTATCCATGTGATGATGAAGACAATGGAATGGTTTATGTAGCTTGGCGAGGACCTTCTACAGTATATGAAGTGTATGATTATCTTGGTTGTTGTTTGCTTTTGAAATATCTTACTGATACATCTGTCAGTCCGCTGCAGAAGGAATTTGTCGAGAGAGATGATCCTTATGCCAGCAATGTGGATTATGAACCATATGAATTTTCGACTTCAGCCTTGAGCTTTATGTTTGAAAATGTGCCGAAAAGTAAAATTCCTCTGCTCAAGGATTCTTTGCTGAAAGTATTGAATGATATCTGTTGTGTTGGTAACATAAACATGAGAAGAATGAAGGCTGTAATCCATAGAAATATTCTTGAAACTCTTAGTGCCTTGGAAAACGATCCGCATGATACAATTGCAGCTATGCTCTTTGGGCATATATTGTATGGAAATACAGATGAAGATGTACGTGTTATATTATTACACTTATTCAAGTTACATGTTATTTAATATATCGAGATTATATTTGACTTTATTTTCTTTAACAGCTTGATCAGAGATTAAACAGTATACGCGATCTAAAGAAATTAAAAAATGAGCCTGAATCATATTGGGTAAATCTTCTTAAAAAATATTTTATTCTTGCACCAATGATTGTTGTGAAAGGCATACCTAGTATAGAAAAGCAACGCACGTTAACTCAAGAAGAGGAGAAACGAATAGCCAAACAGATAGAAAAATTGGGAACTAATGGTTTAGAGCAAAAAGAGATAGAACTTCAGCAAGCCATTAAGGAAAACGAAGTATATGTCTAAATATGCTGCTATATAAATATCGACAATATTTGTATAATATTTTATATTTAATGACTTTTAACCTTATTATTGCTATTTTTAAGAAACCTGTACCCGATGAAGTATTAGCAAATGTGCCTATACCTAGCACAGAGTCCATTAATTTTCATCATATCAAAAGTTACACGACTGAAACGTCCGAACAGCATTCTAGATTAGATGTCACTAAACTGCCATTTTTTACCTATTTAGATCATGTTAACACAAACTTTGTTTATGTGAGTATTATTTTTATTAATTAAAATATATAATTTTCAGAAATATGTAAAAGAAATCTTTCACTTTGAAAAAACATTATAAAATTATATTTAATAATTATTGCATTGATTACTGAATATGACATATATTAATTAATTGTCTTTATTTCTAAATTCAGCTATTTGTCGTTATGGACACTGCCTCTATTAGTAGAGAATATAGAAGATATATTCCATTATTGTTGGAAGTTATTATGGAATCTCCAGTGAGAAGAGATGGCCAACTAATTCCTTATGAAGAAATAGTAGCCATATTGGAAGCTGATACTATAGGCACTGCTACACAAATTGGCTTTAATAATTCCACAAGATTCTCATGTGGATCCTACAGTCATAGTATTTACTTAATGCTTCAAGTAATATATAAATTGCTTTTAATATTTTCTTTCATGAAAGAGTGATTATAATTATTTAAAAAAGATTATAATTTTCACATATGCTATCTTTTTGCATAGATTGAATTAGAAAAGTATGAGAAAGGTGTACAGTGGATTAAAGAGCTTTTGTATGATACTGAATTAACAGTTGATAGATTAAAAGTAATAGCAGCAAAAATGGTAAATGATGTGGCCCAACTAAAGAGAAGGGGACATAAAGTAGTGGGCGATTTAATGAAAGGAATAATATACAATAAAGGTAAACTTTTATTTTTTTTAATCAATAATTGTATACTTGAAAATACAATATAATGTAAATATGACAAAGTGTAAAAGATTTATATTTTTATGCTTTTTTTTTAATTTCTAGATAGCAATCCTTTTACATCCAGTATGTTACGGCAACAAAAATTTCTTACTGATATGATAGAACGTTTGAATGATAATGTAGGCCAAAAGGAAGTTATAGCAGAAATCGAATCGGTCAGAAAAACTGTAACATCATTGAAAAATATGGTTTTATATATAGCTGTTAATGTCGATAAATTAACGGTGCAAGTTCCAGACGTCTATGCCCCATGGAATAAATTTTTTTCTGATGTGGCAACATCAGAGAAGGCAAAGTAAACATAGCTTTTGTAAATCATTTAAATGCCGCAATATTTGGATGCTATTTCTAATTAATTTAATTTTTTTTATTGTATTACAAGCAAGACAAATAATTTAGAAAAAGGCCAAATAGATTCTTAATCAATAATTTTTATAATCTGTTACAGTCTTGAATTGTAATTAAAATCTTTCCTTTCTTTATCAAATAGTAAAGTTAAAATATTTGTTTTTAAGATAGCCCAATATAAAAATTTATTGAACTTAAACAACTCTAAATTTCTTCTTTAGACTAGGGCATTTTGATTCCTTAAATGCCCTAGTTTGAGTTAATTAAAAAGATTACAATATAAAGATATATAATATATTAATATTTAAATAATAAGTTTCAGCAATAAGAGATTAATAAATAAATAAATTTTAGACTTAATGTTACTGCTGACTGGTTATTGATGAATCCTGCAGAGGATATTACTCTCAATGGTTGTGTCACGGGATTGGGATGTATAGAATCTTCATTCTTTTGCCAGACTTGTCCAGGTATAAGCGATTATCAGAGTCCTGATCTGCCAGCTTTGGCTGTCTGTTTGCAGTATTTGACACAAACGGAGGTGAGCCTATGATAATTACCAATTGAAAATTGATCAAATCGCAGTTATTTCGAAATATATAATTTCAGGGACCCATGTGGAGGTTAATCCGAGGACAGGGACTTTCATACGGATACAGTATTTATCCTAAACCAAATGAAGGACTATTGTATCTGACTCTTTTTAAAGCTACAAATGCGGTAGCTGCATACAAGGAGACGAAGTCGATAGTAGTATGTATAATAATAATAATTTTATTAAGAATGTAACAAGAGCTGTAGAAAATAGATCCATATCAGATATAAAATTTAAAAAATTCATAATGAATATTGTGATAACAGCAAGAAAACTGCTATTTGAATAAAAAATAATAACTATACATAATTGATATGCATATCTAATTTTTAAAATAATATTACAAAATTAAAAATATTTTCTATTGCAGGAAGCGCATCTTGCTGGCGATAAATGGGAAAAGCTGCTTTACGAATCGGCGAAATCATCTTTGATTTTCGAGATTATTGAACAAGAAAAAACTATAGGTGATATTGTAACTCAATCGTTATTGTCCTATTTTAGAAACGTGCCACATGATTATAATCATCAAATGGTGCGACGTATTGCCGCCGTTACTATGGATGATGTGACTCGTGTGGCGGCTTTGTATCTCAAGCCATTGTTTGATCCAAAAAAATGTAAAACTACCATAGTATGTCATCCCTCGAAAGTCGCAGAAATAGGCGAGGCTTTTAAAGAGTAAGCAAATGATTATTTTGTCCTTCTTTTATTTTTATATATATTATGTATATGTATATATTTATATAATTTTTTTACAGAATGAGTCAAAATCTTAAACTGTACAATTGCCTTGAAGAAACATATTTAAGTGAGTGGTGAAAGGAGATTATCCATTAATTCAAATCTTGAAAAGCATATTTTATATGCTTAATTAATTAAAAATATAATTCATACTTTACATTCTTTTTCACAAACATTATCAAATTGAATTTGATAAGTTTTGGAAGAATTTAGAAAAATACATGCAAAAATCTCACAATACATAATATTAAAAATGCTGATTGTTACGTGTTGTAATAACATTTTCTTTTATTCATTTTTTGGTACAAGTAACACCAAGCATTTATAAAAACAGACTTGAAACTTTTGTATTTTTAATATATAACGAAAAGATGTAATAACAATTATTAATGTCAAAGATATATCAAAAAGATTTAATGTAGAGAGAGACTAGATATATTTATATCATATAGCAATGTTTTCATCACAAATAAAGATTCTTTATATATGTGTATATAAAGTGCGCTTTGTATTTTCTAATACAATTAGGAAGAAACTGATACAGTTTCTATTTCTAACGCTGATACGCCATGTTGTTTGATTGGCGAATAGACGCCACCGTAAATTTGAAATTCAAATGTAGTAATATTTGCTGTATCCAGAGGCTCACCATCCGGAATTTCGCGTCCACGATAATAAGACTTGAAATCTTTCAGCGGTAATGTTATCGTAAAAAATTCGTTGTCTGATATTGGCACCTGAAGGAAAAAATTTCGAAAAATGTTTATAATAAAAGGAGCTTTTTAAAATGACATTTTATTTTAACAAAAATTCTGAAGTTTAGAAATGTCCAAAAAACGCTAGAAGAAAAATATATAATAATAGCAAAGAAGATAAATAAAACTGATATAAGACTTAATGAAAACTTTACTGTAAAGAATTGTTCATAGCTGAAATCCTCATTGGAATTCTGTCCTCGGTGTTTGAGATTAATCTTGTAATGATTATTTTGCCCCTGTCCTCGACATAAAATTTCAATATTCTTAAATCTTGATAGATTAAAATTTACTGCCTTTCTAATGCCAGCAAAACCAGCACCATTTGGTTGTGGATTTAGCAATGTGAAGAAGACTGCTCTCTGAAAGAGCTGACTTGTTTGCAATGTTAATACAGCTTTTGATTTTCCCACAGTTCTCACAGTGTCAGAAACTTCTCGCCAATCATCCAAGCTTTGCACATTTGTGAAATCAAACAGCATCATTTTATTCCTAATTAAATTCACATGACGTAAAAACATACAAATATAGAAATGTGAAAAACATTTAAACATATAAATTTATTCTAACTAAATATAATTGAAATTCCATTCATAATCATTATATATAACTTTATGCAATTAAGATATTTCGTTGAATCTGTGAAAAGCATTCAAATAATTAAATAAAAAGGTGTATAATTATGAAATTTAACCTATTTATCTCGTTACTTGAATGCACAATTTAATTATTAGAATTGTTGAAATTTATTTTTGCTTATCCTGAATAAAGGTATATATAAATGAGGAAATCCCGAAAAGCTATTTACTTGCAATCATTTATAATATTTTTATATTTAATTTTTTAATTGTAGAAAAATCTTATTTTCAGAATTTTAAATCCAAAGTGTGTGTATATAATTTTTGTACAATGATATTTTACCCTGTTGCAAAGTCACACAGTGCACACGTTGCGATGAAAACGATGATGCTTTGTAAATTCATGTGCGTTTCAAGATATTATTTTTTCAAGAGATAATGACATATTTATCAAGATATCATATTTAATTATTCTACAATGGTAAAATGCTGACAGCTGACAGCTGAATCAGCTGAGCTGAACGTGCAATTGTGTTACAGTTCGGAGCTTGAAATTTGAATATGTATGACATTTACGAGCACGTGTTATTTAATATCAAAATTATTTAGTGGTAAAAAACGTGAAAGTAATTTTTAACAATAATAATTTGTATGTAACTTTTTCTTAACAAAATTTTATCTTTTTTATGTAATCTCTTTTTTGAGGTTATATTTCATTTTTTTCATTTCTTACATGCATATAATAAATCTAATTTCTTACCTTAGAAAATTCGAAAAAAATGTAATAATGTAATACATTAATCATTTTTATAAATAAAATACAGTTATAATATTTATATGCAACACATCTTTACGTTATTTGTATTACAAAAAAATATCAATCACAAAGGTTTTTAAAAACGTTTTATTTGATAAATACATGCACTTTTTAAGATAGGAATAAATTCGCAAATAATTGAATTTTTTTATATAAGTTTTATTCATTATATGTATAGTACATAACTAAATTGTGCTGCACAAGTTATTGAATATAAGTAACGATGTAATTAATTCCATACCCACAAATCTTATACTGCTTTTAAAATTCTATATTTATTTTTACTTGAAAAATTTGCTCCATGAAATAAGAAAACTATAAGACAATTAAAAACATTTTTGTTGTGGAAAAAAATGGTTATATGTAGAAAACAGAAAAGTAAAATATGAAAAATATTTTGTGATATAAAAATACAAAAACAAAAATTTTTTACATAAAATGAAAGTTTTATTTTTTTTGATTAAAATATTGAAAAAAATCTTAGGTATTAACACTTAATTTTATAACTATATAGTGGAAATTCCATGATAAAAACAGTTACAAAGATTTTTATAAAATAATACTATAGGTGAAGAGAGAGAAAGATCCTTATATATTTATTTCAATGAATTAATTATATGTCTTGGCAAAAAAGTATTCTTTAATAAAAAGAAAATTATATCTTTTTTGTTAAAGCATCATGTATAAGTATTCCTTGGCATCTTTTCATATTCATATTTTATAAACTAGACATAAAGACAAAGATTTATAAATGGATGAATTTCTCTATTGCAGCAAATAAATTTTTTAATTATTTTACTGCTATTGAATATATGATTGAAAGAAAGGAATATATTAATCCCAAATTTGGTTTATACGTTGCCTCTTGAAATATTTTAAATATAATTTTTCAAAGGTATAATAAAATAATCGCATTTGTTATTTGAATAGATCGATAAAACTTTGATCAAATTTATTTGAGACGATTCTTCGCGCATTTTCTTGCGTTATCAATACAAATCGTTTACAAGTCACACAACATTGAAAAGAATATAAATCCATTTTATGTTCATTGCAAATTTTTTCTACTTAATTTCTCTTCTCTTTTTCGCCTCTTTTAGCCATATCAATATTACCTTTGTATCATTGAACCATAACAAGATAGAACTTACATAACTTGTGTGTGGAAGAGTGCATCAATTAATATTAATTTTGGTTTAAATTTCAATGTGAGACTTCTATACAATAGACAGCACTTCAAAAGAATTTGCTCTCTGATTCAAAAGCATAAAAGCATTACATGTTAATTTGTAGATTTTTGCTTAAAAAAAAAAAAGTAAGAAAAAGAAAATGCTAAAACACGCAAGTTATATACATATATATATATATTCAAAGCTGCATTCACATAATATTCATTTAACTGTGTTGATGATAATTTGCTATGTTATTTATACTTTTTTATAAATAAAAAATGATTTTTGAACGATGATAAATATTAAAAAAGAGAAATAGTAAAAGTATATTCCCATCTTAATTTGTCATTAAAGCACATGTTAAATTTATATATATGTTTATATTTCATTCAGAATAGATCATTAGATTTAAATCTTTTATCTATGTTAACAAAAAGAAAAATAATTTTTTTGATCCCTCTAGTTTTCTCTTTATCTATATTAAGTTTTACAGGTAACTGAAATCATAAAGCCCACATACATAAATGTGCATATCTTGTCAAATAAAGAAGGTTTAAAAAGTGATTGAAATATATGACTTATAATTTGTTAATTTTCCTTGATTAAATTTCTTAAAGCAAAAATTTGTATGTTACAATAAATATGTAATCCTCCCATGCAGATATAAATGTAAATTTCATCACTCGTCCATCGTTACATTGTTTAGCAGAAATTTTCAGTCGAACATATTGGGAAATATATTGATCGGCTTCTATGCATATATACTCGAAACGAATTATTTTTTTTCTTGACAGCTTTGCAACAAAATGCATGAAATATACAAAAATCTATATATGGAAATAGTATAGAAGTTGCAATAATTATACAAAAGCTGTTTCATCGGTAGATCACTAACTTTTGCCGCGTCAAAAACTAGTAGTATTATTGGAATCACTTTTATGACTTATGTCTATATTATGTCGATATTTATCACTGTAAATCGACACAAAAAAAAAAGAAAATTAAATATGTTTCATTTTTTCATTTCATTTTTCTTTTAAGTAGACTTTGCTTATCAAAGGGAGGATACAGGCTACGAGTAATCTGATCAGCTACACTTAGTATAAATCATATATGCATTAATAGTACCGATCAATTAATATATCTATATACAAACAAATAATAAGACCTAACAGGAGCAGGAGTCCTTTCCGCCTTGCTGTTCATTAGATACTCCTTGAAGACTGGTGCGACCCGGTTGACTGGGATTATGTTGTACACCAGACTCTGCTGCATTTAGGTCCAATCTATAAAAAAGAAATATGAGATGCATTATAACTCATGTTCAGCCTTAACTTTATAATTACAAATTAATTATAACAATTATATTGTAATTTTTTTATTTTGTATTATATTATTTTGTTTATATATAACTCACCGTCCGTCTTGTATACTTTGGAATATTTTCTTTGCAGTTTCCAAGAAAGCTTCCTCCACATTATGCCCTCTGTTTAAAAAATTAAAACACACAATTTTTAATTTGCACAATCGTTTTAAGAATTTATATTTTGTTTAAATATTAAAAGAACTTACGTTTTTGCGCTAGCTTCGACAAACATCAAACCATGTTCATCAGCAAACTGTTTTGCTTCTTCATAGGTAACATCACGTTGTCCTTCAAGGTCACTCTTGTTACCAATTAAGAATATAACCTAGAACAGGAATTAATTTATTTTACTTGAATTTATGTTACTTGATTGTTTATAAACGTAATATTCTCTTCTGTGCATTACGCAGATGTAAAATTACAAGCCAATTAAATAAGGAATTCTTATAACTGTTATGGCATGTAATATTAGCAATATGCGTACAGTGCTTGGATTTGTCAAATTTCTTGTATCTGTCAGCCAGCTACTGAGATGATTGTAAGTTGAACGGCGTGTAATATCGTACACCATTAAAGCTCCAGCAGCACCCCGATAATACGATCTAAGAAGAAATATTTCTTTGTGTGCACTGTAATCTTATTTTTAGTATTTGACGAATATTCTTTCACTTATTCCAAATGTTGCACAATTATTACCTAGTAACTGCCCTGAATCGTTCTTGCCCTGCAGTGTCCCATATCTGCAGTTTTATCTTCTGTCCTGCTACTTCAATAATCCTAGTTCCAAATTCGACACCGATAGTATGTGGACAATCTGCCATAACTAAATTTATACAAACATTTACATGTAAGCATTTATTCTTTAATTTTTTTTTCTTTGTAAATGCAAAATATAATCAATGAATAATTTATATTGCTTATATCGCTTTCAAACATTTAAAGAGACTTATGAATACTAAAAAAAAATATAGAAAATTTTATTTATAACAATTTCGCGAAAAGATAATAATTTTCTATCTGTCTCCCTACAATTTATTTACAATAGAGTTTTTGAATAGATAAGGTAGAAATTAGCACATTGTTATAAGTATTATCCATGCTAAGCATAATATATATGCACAATATGCTATAGTATAGTCACATAATTGTATACATGACTCCAGCATTTTTCATACAAGTGAGTCATGAGAAAAAAAAGAATTATGAAACATAAAATTTTATAATTTAGTATGAATCTTATTTATATGAATTTATACAAGCATGTATAATACATTATATTTGTATAATGCATATATTTATTTTATTACTTACATTTTTTTTCTGTAAACTGATGAAGCAGGCACGATTTGCCTACTCCCATATCCCCTATAATAATATATTTAAAGATGTAGGAATAGTTATATGGGCCAGTCGACATTTTGCACCTGCAATTAAAAAATTATGGAAAAATGAAGTTATATTTATATGTACTCTTACCTCTTAATTGTTTGATATAAGCAATAAAAAATTAAGTTTATGGCTTAGTGAAGTTTATTGAAATCTCTTTTAGGCGATATTTTATAATTTATGCTTGTGTGTGTGTGTGTTGTGAAGAATTTCTTTCATGTTTGTTATTTTGAGAGGTATTATCTGAAGTATTTGAGATTATCTTTATCTATTTGTATATTCGTTAAAATGAGATTATATTTCAGAGTAGTCACATTCTGTTTCATTCAATATGAGATAACAGATGAATCATAAGTGTACTCTAGACAGGTGAGAATCTCTCTAAAGCAATGTCAATGACCACATGTAACTATTATTGCCACAATAAATTATATATTTAATTATATAAAATTTTTTATATAAAATTTAATTATATAAAATTATATAATTAAAAAGTTACATATGGTTATTAGTATAATTATCTTGTTTGTAAAGAAATATATTTTGAAGAAGCATATTTTGTCTTTTTAAAGATAAATATTATATAATTACATAGTTTTGATAATTGATTGTAGAAAACAAGCATAATGACTTTTATATTTGATGAGAACTTTATATTAATATATATTATATATATAATTATATTTAGAAGTTTAGAAAAAAAAATGAATGATTTATTAGCTTCGTGGGTTTCGCGAAAACAAATTACACACGCATCTATGAATAATTCATGATTATCCTGATGAGAATTTTTTCATTGTAAAGCTGAGCGTGGTAACAGAATCTCGATTTTCATCGAAATTAGACGCGGGATTGGATTGATACGATCGATCAGACTCGAGAAACATGCGTGTCAGTTTTCTTCGGGGTTCGCGAGAAGCGAGCCTCCCAAGTCAACGTCAACAATAACCCGCTGCCCACTCCCATAATTACGTTACGTCTAATTAGCGCAGTTTTCACGATCAACGGGGCGTAACGAGGGAATCGAAGGGAGGGAAACACGAGGCCAGGGAGAGGGACGTGATCCTTATCGGAGATGGACGATAACGCGGGGTGCGATACAGGGTCTCTCGCGATGTCAACAATGCGTCCAGGAGGTGTTACTTCACTCACACGTTCTATATTGGCGCCGCGTAGGTGGTTGATTACTGACAGCTGCGGGGCTGGGGGAGAGACTCTCTGCAGAGGGAGAGCACGGCGTTGTGTAAACACTCGGCGAACCCGAACGCTGCTCCTCCGGATGTGATTCACTCTGTCATCAGGTAGCTCGTACGCGCCAACGACGTCTCGCCCCCCGATATCACGCGCAATATGGCAGGCCGCGCTGTCGCTGACGACGATGGCGAGCAAACGTCAAACCACCTGTCACTCGCATTAACTCCTGGTCCGCTCGGCCGCGCTACCTTCGCTCGCTTCGCGGCCAACTTGTCGACGTTGCGGGTGACAGATAGGACTTGTCGCGTGAACACGAGGACGCGGAAGAGGATCGGCTACGTCTCCCTTGGTGTCTCCGACGTCATGAATGCTTCGACAGAGAATTTCGCGAAACACGTCGTATCTAGATACCTTTGCATTCGTGACTGGTGGTTATTATTCGAGGAAATAATTGTCTCAAGACGTATCTCATGCGAGCACGTAGCCTTTGCACGCGAGACGCGCCAGCCAATCAACATCTCGCTCTTATAGACGAACTGTAAAGCGATTGGCGTTCCGCGTGCGACGGTTCTTATTGGACGAGGAATCAAAATGGCGGAGCCAATCGCGCTCGCCGTCGATTTATCCGACGAATCGTACATCTGTATGATTCTTGAGTCTGTGGACGATGAGTTGAGCATCGAATACTGCGTACTTTGGTCGATTCGTGTTGTCGCAAATCAAACTACGGTTTTTATCGAGAGTAGAAGTTATAAGCTGAGAGAGTACGTGAATCGGGTAGAAGATTCAAATACGAAGGACTTGTGGGGCGTGGCATATTGGCTTGGTATATCACGTATACGTGTGGCTGTTTCTAAATCGTATCGCTGAGACATTAATTGTCTTTTTGGAACTTTTCCCTTAGGTAAGAGACTTTACTTTAATAATACGTTACGAAAATCACGCATGACGTAGTCATCGAGATAAGACAAGAATGTTTGGTTTATTATCTTCAAGTTTTGCATCGTCCTGTTTTTTTGTCTAGTTTTCATACGATACATCCGAATGATTTGTTTTACTTTGTTCCGTTTCGTTTTGATTATTACAAAATACATAGGTAGGTTTTAATTTTTTTTTAGTCACAATTAGTTGGATATTTGTATTTTTAACCACATGTATTGTGTACGAGATTACATGGATATATATTTATTTATATATCGTATGTAAAATTTTACACGAATATATTTTATATATGTTTTGATATATGTTTGTTTGTCATGTTCAACAGTCATTTTTGAGATTAAAAGAGATAAACTCGATGATTACAAAATCAAAATAAGACTAAAGATTGATTTAAAGGTTGAGTCAGTTGTTGGTATAATATATAAGAGATATATCACAATATACATTCTTGAATTACTTCCAGTATTTTTGTGTGATACTGACTTTTAATTTATTTAATTATATTTTATTTTAAAATAAAATTCGCAGAGGTTCAGATATAAATTGAAACGTGAGCTATAACAATAGGCCAATCCCAGATCCAAACAACAGATATAAAGGGACGAGTAAGTATTAATACAAGAATTTTTATGCAAATTGAGAAAAGCTTAACATTAAACCAAACGTTTTGATTCTCACCTTGAGAGAGATAAAAACTTTTGAATTAATATATACTCACACGTCTTTATATCCTTCATTTGGCTCTAATATCGTTATAGTTTATATATTTTATTTTCCTTTTTTACTTAATATGATACTGTAATCATCTTGTTGGTTTATCAATAAATACTGAAAAATGTTTGTGAATGTGATAATCTCTTTAAACTCTCTGGACCTTGTAAAATGTTTGACATTTAATTTTGATAATTTTAATGAGATAATACCTATTATTGACATGAAGCATCATAACATTTTTATACAGAAGTCTAACATGTTTATGTGAACATGTTACATATGTATCCATAGGTTGTGGTATATTACAGATTGTTTTAGCTGACTATGCCATACATTTTAGTACGTGGTAACCTAGCGTCATACAGTCATAAATATCCCTGGAGGGTTCTTGTATCAGGGCTTAAAGGTACGAATTCCTGCATATTCCACCCTTGTACAAATGTACATGTTACTCTTCCCTCTTGTTAAATTTTGTCACAATTAAACAATATGTTCAGCAACTTATCATAATTGAAAATTCTCTATATCACTTTTCTCTAAATTTTCATATTATATGCTGATAATAATAAAAAATAATCATCAAAAACTAGCAAATCTTTAACATACATTTAGAAATTAGATAGATATATTGAAAATTATAGATAATATCTTTTGTAATTAATCTTGCAAGTAGGTATGATAAAGAATCGAGTTTAGAGGTACAAATAATATTCAATTATGTTATAGCGGCTGACATAGAGCAATTGGGTCGCTTTACAAATATAGGTTATTGCGACGATTCAACGATAGTATATTTGCAACATCCTTGCATAATATTGACTGCTTTAGAAGTACTTGGTTACAAAGTCGTCGCATCTTCCAGTACTAGCATTAAGCAGGATTATAATGAATACATGTGGACTATGAGAAAAGAATTTCCAGAACCTGAACCTGAACCTGAACGTGTTGTAACAGCTGGTATGGTTCGACATTAGTATAGCAGTTTTAAGAGCAATTCAACAGCACATATCATAGTATAGTTGCAACATTATGCACAATTGTGTTCTAATGCTTCTGTGAAAAATCATTTGTCGATACGCTCCAAAAAATGCATAAGTTTCATTGAAAGTTTATAAAACTTCAGTGTTATCACTTACATATACATTATATGTGCTTACACATACATTAATCGCATTTCCAATGGAAGAAAATCTTTTTATTTATAAAGGTTTTTGATCTTATCGATAAAAATTATTTATACAGTACTTTATAATACTTTAAAGTTATTTATATAGTACTTTGAAAAAAGTAATATCAGTTATAAAAAAATGTAATAAAAAAGTTACTATCTTTAAATAATCTATTTTCTATTGGAGATATGATACATTGCATCAACATACGTGTCAGCTTCAACATTTCATTCATTTCACTTGACCAGGAATGCGCCATTTATCTTGAAAGTGGCTTTAGTCAAGTTTGTTTTAAAATTTGCTTGAACAACATTTTATATAATTATTTTATATAATTATTGAATTTGCATAAAATAAACGTGCTTTATATTGGAAAAAAAACAAAGGTTCTATGTGTGTGTGTGAATTATTTATTATCTAAGATACAGTATTTCAAATACTTTACATATCTAAAATTTATGTGAATATTTGCTTATTGAAAAATAGAAATTTTGAAGCTGAATATATCTTCAAAATAAAACTGGAAAGCTACTCGTATCTTTATATCAATTGTAACAAGAGTTCAAGGGTTGAGGAATAAAGGAAAGTTCTCTTGTTACTGGAATCATTTGAACGAAGAAGTATCACGAGCGAAAAATTTGATAAAGTAAATAAAAGCATCGCATAAACGCAGCTTTTCGATCGGGAAATTTCGTCGAGGAATTTGCTTCATAAAGAGTGATTTTTTTGTACCACTTTCGTGATAAACGGCTCTGATCACTCACGTGCGTCACGTTTGCTTTTCTTCTAGAAGTAAAGCACAACGAGGTATAACGATACTTTTAGCGCGGCGATGGCAACCACGTCCAACGTCAAAAAGGACGTCGCCGACGAGGACGACGACACTTTCTATTACGTCGGTGTAAGGGCATCCCCGTTCGCGGCCGATTGCGTTGTGTTTGGTCTGCCTTCGAAAGAGACGTCGGCCCTACATAGCCGCTTCCCGCTGTCCTCCACTAGTACGAATATCGTGAATGGAATTATGCTCAAAGGTTAATATGACCTTCATTCTCAAGAAATTTTCAATGCTAACAGATGTTGCTCAGAGTCCCAAAGCAGATTCTTCCAACTGTAAACTCTATAAAATGCACTAGTGTTTTATGAAAATATCAATTAATCGCGAGCTAATAGTGGAAACAGATTTTTAGTAGAAACGAATAATAAGTATAGAAAAAACAATTTTTTAGAGTCTAGTTTAGGTCAAATATCTCAGAGAAAATAGATTTCATCCATATATAAAATACTCTATATATAAAATAAATACAATTATTAATAATATTATGGTAATTTATTTGGTTTAAGATTGCGATATTTAATAATTATGAAGAGTTTACTTAATTTAATGGAAATTAGATTTCATTATATTAATACAATAATTAATAAAGAAAAGTTTTGAACACAAAATTAATATTATTGTTATTTAAATTTCTATATAAGTATTTATAAATTTTTAAATATTAATATTAATTTTCTTATGATATATCTTTTAGGAATTTACGTTGCTAAATTGATTTCAGGGACACCGTTCTCGGTCATAAATGCTCTAGCTGAGCTCGGTTATCGAGTTATTTGTAGTTCTGGAGAGACCGAGGTACTTTGGACATTGCAGCGGGAATGTTAATGATATAAAAAAATTGGGTCTTACCGTATATATACCGTATATATACTATTATATATCTAACACACTTACTTGCAATTTTATATATATATCTATGTTTTTATGAATCGAATTTTTATCAAGTGAATGAGATTTGTAATATTATCATTCTTTTCTGCATTTTTCTTTTATACATCTTGTAATTCTGGTGTTCGTCTAAACGCGTTTTGGCGATATTTTACAATAGTTGTTACAAACATATAATATTGTGTGGACCATCTGAAAGGCTTTATCTTACCAAATATCTTTTTGAGATATTTGATTGTATGATTTTATATGTATCTCGCAAAGTTGAATGGATACATATAAAATGTAGCTCATCATTAAAGTAGAACATGTACAATATTTCATTTGATTTGAAAATGGACACGTACAACATATTAGTCAGTGTTGTAAACGATAACATTAATAACGAATGTTTTTTGTATGTTATCGAATGTGACATTTTATATGCATATTTCAGCAATATCGCGAGTTTCTTTGTAAAGGTTAATAACGGTTTCGAAAAGGGCACGATAAAATTGATTATGATAAGACTGTTTGTGAGAGAGAGGTAATGAGAAGATTGAGCCACCTTAAACTTTATGCATTCCACATCTGTTGGTAAATTATTATCTGCACTGTTATATTACAGATAATAATTTATCAGCAAATACGGAAAATTCCCCAGAGCAAAATAATGCGCCTTGGTACACACATTATATATATATATATATATATATATATATATATATATATATACATATATATATTGAAGTATTGTATTTTGTGATATTTTTACCTCGTTGCGTGGAAAATGGGTTTTTTTACGCTTTATAGAAAGTTAGGGAACAAGAGTTTCATATAATCTAGGCTCATCCAAAGTGGCGCAATATAGATTGCTCCAAAACTGGTGAACATTGTCTTTCAATGTTTACCTTTTCGCGAGGAATAAAATTTTATTATATACGTACAAATAAGAATTTATATATCTTTATATATAATAACACACATACACACACACACACACACATACATATATATATTATTGTAGCATCAATATAATACTTTTTCCTATCATGTGTATTGTATCTACCATGTGTTTTGGTAGTTTATCGTACAATTATTACGTACGATATCGTCCGAATCTTTGTCCAGAGAGTTTAAACGTAAAATTGTCATTTGATGTAGTGGTATTATGGCGATAATTACTCTTACTTGTATATGTTGTGTCAATCTTACTGCAAATGGTATGTGTAAATCTAAGGTATTATTGCGATTGATAATTTCTTATTTTTAAACCAAATCGAAATTATATAAAATAATCATTATTTTATATAGTAGTGTATAACAATTATATATATTAATTTATATGTATTAATTTATATTATAAGAAAAAAAATACATCCAATGACGTTAACGAAGAAATATTTAGTTACAATTTTTGACATTTGAATCAAATTTATAGAATTAAAATTCGCGGATATGATGAATTTTATATTTATATAAAATAAAATCTTGCGCATGAATAGAGCTTTAAATTGTTTTGTACGATGCAGTGGGGCATAGGCGCAGCTTGTAATTGAATATTGTACACAATTATTTATAATATAAGAAATATTGATCAATTTATGTATTATATATTTTATTATGCGATGAAAATCTTGTTTCCTGAGAATATAAAAATGATCCTTTTTTCATATAAATATAATAATTAAGAGACTTGTGTCAAACTGATATAATATAGAATGACTATTTGCAGATATAATAAAATAATGGCGCATTCTCACAATGATGGTGATACGTGTTGCCAAAGCAATAATTACGATGTCTATGAAACTTTAGATGAGATGGAATTCGCACGTGGACTTTGGAAGGCAGGTAATGAATGAAAGTGATGCTTCTATTTGCGATATAGATATTTACTCAAAATAATGAAAGATGGTAAATACGTAATGAAGTATTCGAAAATAGAACGCGAATGAACGGCAAACATATGTTCAAATTTGACTGTGCATTTATTATAGGTTCCAATATCGGATTTATATCAATAGAAAATTGAACAAGACTCTATTTTCATATATAATCTGTATAAAAGATAACTCGCGAGTGCGAGTAAGAGATTTATTTTTGAACACAAATAATAAATAATTTATATAAACATGTGCTCGCGATTATTAAAAGATAATCGTAAAAATTTATCGTGTAATATTCATGTATCAAATGAAAACATAATGAGAAAAAAAGATTATATATTATTTAAAAGATTTTATATTATTTCTATACATATATTTCAGATTAGAATAAGTAATAGAAATGGGGATTGAATTGTAGTAAGCTACCTATGATATTGGAAATTATAAAAAAAAGTCTATCTAAATTTTGACTTTAATAAAAAGCATTGCCTTTTATTTTTCGTCGATTCTCCGAGACTTTAGAAAAATGTCCAGTGATTGTCAAATTATATAGACTGACAAATGTTTTTTTTTTCAGCGATGGATGGCGACTTCAATCTCGTGCAGTCTCTGCTGGGGAGGCAATACAATCCCAGGGAGGCGGACTCTGCCGGTTACACTCCATTGCATTATGCTGCGCGAAACGGGCATTCCGATGTGTGCGGTATGCTATTGTCAAACGGCGCGAACCCGGACGCTAAGACCCGATCTCTTAATGCGACGCCTCTGCACCGTGCGGCTTTAAAGGGTCATTTCGAAACCGTCGAAACGTTGCTGAGCTACAATGCGAACGCCAATCTCAAGGACGCGGATGGCAAGACGGCTCTACACCGAGCGATCACAAAGTACGTCAGCTCCAAAGAAACTCTTCAGGATACGTCGTTGTCGAAAACTTGCAAGTTACTGCTACCACGTACCAATCTTAACATTAAGGATAATACCGGACAAACACTGAAAAAATTTATCTTGGAAACATATAAGAAGACATTAGACGAATTGGGACCGGAAGATGCAGAATTAATGAAAGATACATTTTTACAAGAGACACTGGAAAGATATTGCCTAAGTTGCGGGCAAAAGAAACCGGTGACAATGTGGCAATTGCCTGACGATATATGATCAGTCGAGGAAAGATGAAAAGTATAAAAGAATGAGGATTGAAGAAAATAAGGAAAGTAAAATTAGAAATTAACAGAATATATTATTTTTTAATATTTATTTAGAATTTTATTTAGAATTATTTATATAGAATACACATTTGCATATATGTTATGTTAGTATAGTTTTCATTTTCCTAGTATAGTAATAATAAATAATAGAGATTTGTCATATTTAAGATAGTCATATTTAATATATCGATATTTTTGCAAAATGCAATCTCTCTTTTTTGACACTTGTACATGAATAAACGTACAATTATTTCATTTAAAATTGTTAGTACATTAGCATTAAAAAGTTTAATTTAATTTAATTTTAGATAGAAAATCTACGCGATTGCGAGCATTTAAAACTTTATAACAAAAACAAAATAGCAAGAATTAATAAAGCATCGATACGTTCAAAGGAAGGAAAACAATGTTTATACTTTTCAATAGCGACGCTAGTACCACAATTCTAAAATTCTCAAAATTCATCGAAACTCAATTTGTCCAACGGGGAATAAGTTTCCAAATGAAAAATGCAATCCGTGGAAAATTTATCGCCTCTATTTCCAGCCACGCCGCGACAAACGTTCTCGTTAAAGCGCCCTACACGCGGTCGATCCATCCATCCATCCATCCATCCACCCATCCATCCATCCGTCCGTCCATCCGTTGGCGCGCGACAGACGAGAAGCCGGAGGGTCGTGCACTTGATATTGAATCGGTCCCGCTCGCGGCGGCTCGGCCGTTTCCGGCGACGCTCGGCGAGCGCGACATATATTCTCCGGGGCCCCGCGAGCAGCGCGACGCCGGCGCCATCTCGCGGCCGCGAGTTGCTCCCGTCGTCGTTCGCGGTGCGGCCGCGCCAGTCGTTGCACGACGCGGAGTCGTCAGTTGTTTGACGAGTGTTATCAACCGCGGTTTGTTTGTGCGTGCGGAGTCGCGTGCGGGTTCGTTCTCGCGCGCTTCCGTCCGTCGTATTTCGCGTACGTTTCTCGCCCGCGAGCCCGACGACGATCCTCGTTCGACGGAGGCGGCTCGCGCGACAATCGGCACGTCGCGACCGCGTCTACGAGATCGCAGGCCGTTCTCTCGAGCCCGTGTCTCGCGGCGGCCACCGCGGCTGTTGTCGTCCACGCCCGTTTCGCTCCGGTTTTCACGGGCCGCGAGTCGCGAGGTTCGCATCTCGTCGCCGATCGACGCTCCTCAAGAGGAAAGAAGGAACCGACGACGAGGCGAAGGTAGAAGCAGAAAGCGAGCGCGCGAGAAAGAGAGAGAGAGAGAGGCGATGTAACGTCGTCGCGCTGTGACGTCACGCACGTCGGGTCGCGCTAATCGAGTACACACACGCGCGCGCGAATTCAAACACAGGCTGAGCGGACAGCGCGCGCGCGCGCGCTCTCCGTCCGTCCGTCGTCGTGTCATCGTCGTTCCTCGCCGTCCCGTGTATACAAACATATTTGTGTATTTCATCGACGAGAGAGATAGAGCGCGTCTGTCGCGTGCGGCGAGATAAATCGGGACGAGAGAGAGGGATAGATAAGAAAGGGAGCACCAGCGAGAGGACGGAGAGAGACACGAAGCCGCGCGTACATATATGCGCTCTCGCCGCGAGCGCCGAGTCGGGGGAAGGAGCGAGGAGGAGGAGGAGGAGGGGGCGGCGGCGGGAGGCGAGGCGCGCGCGCGGCGGGACGTTGCTTGCGCGTACTGTCCAGCAGCGCTCGCGAGGAGGAGGTTCGCGCCAGCCGTGGAGAGGATGAGAAGAGCGGCGAGGCCGGCGGTCGCGACGCGCTATTTCGCGACCGGATAGACCCTTCGGAGAGGCTCGCGCGCGCCTCGCGACCGCGTCATCCTCGTCGTCGACGACGGTGCGCTGACACGCGCGCGAAGGACACACGTGCGGAGTATAAAGGAGCTCGGAGCGTCCAGCTCGCGTATCCCGTGGCGCCCCGCTGTGTTTTTCTGCGGAAAGATCGCGACCGAGGGAGAAGGAGAAGAAGAGGAGAGGAGAGCGAGCGGACACATCGCCGCTCGTTTCTCGGATATTCCTCGCGCAGCTGGCGGTGCCGCTCGCTTCTGTGCGCGCGTCGCTTCCGTCCCTCGAGCGACTCGGCTTTTTCAGCGAGCAGACTCTGGAAAGGAAAAAAACGAGAGAGGGGAAGACACGGACGGACTATCTCGACCTCAAACTACGAGACGCGCCGGTGGGGAGGAAGTGGCATCGTCGTTTCGCGAATAACAAAGTCGGCCGTACATACATATATATATATATACACAGTGTCGGCGAGCAACGCAGCGTTCGGCGCGAATATAATGCACAGCGGCAGCGGCGCGCCGGATCGCGCGCGGCGCCGCAAGAAAGCAGCGGCCGGGTTTCCACTCCGTTCCGTTTTTATTCGCTCGTCGGACGGTCCGCTGCTCCGCTGAGAGTCAAGTTCGTCGCGCTCCGCTGTGCGCGCCGCCGCCGCGCGCTCTCGCGCGCAGCGCACACCGTCAGCTCGGCGCTTTCGATTGTGCGTCGCCGCATCGCGGCTCGTCGTGGGCTCTCCATCCGTCTACCTGCCCCCGCCTCCCCCCTGACGTCTCCGCTCGAGTGACGTGCGCCGAGGGAGCGACAGAGACCGCGGATAAAGGTGCGTGCTCCCTTTTTATGTATATACGGAATTTTTCCATCGATCGCGAGTGTGTTTCCTCTCGCCATCGGTGTTTTTGCACGCTCGCATTTTTCCCCCCTCCCCCTGGTTTTTCGATAACGAGCGAAAGATGGCACCGAGAGGAGCGTTGTTTGTTTTGAAGGTTAACGCGTGACATTGGACCGAGGAGCCGTTTTGATCGATCGTATTAAGTAACGTGGGAGCTCGCGAATCGCGGGATATTACCGGAGGAGGAGATGTTTAGATAATGTCGAATTTACGCGCACCTGTCATCCTTGGAAAATTCCGTAAATATTTTTCTGCTGGTCTTAATTCTTTTTTCAGCGAGGAAAAAATCCCAACAAGGGACGCGTTGTTTTTGAAATTTCGAGTGAAACAAGCGTTGCGTAAATTATGTTTCGCACCCGAAACGATGTACGAAATAATCTTTACGCGTTGCGATTCCCTTGCTGAGGTATGCGAGAGTTTCCGCGCGCTGTGTTTTCGCTCTAAAAATGTCGTAAATATATACGCGAAGGACGCTTTTGGGGCAAATTCCGCAATTTTGCTCCGGGACGGCGATTATATTCGGCCGAACATTTTACACGCGTTCTTTATCCTCGGGGAAGAGGATCCGCGATCGCCAACGATTGATTACTTTATGGCGCGACTAATACATTTCTCGAAGCAAATAAACATACGTATATATGTGTGTCTTCCTCCTGGCATTTTTTTTTTCGTATCCTTTCGGGCCTGCAGGGGCCGAATCACGATAATGGGAGGATAAAAATTGGACAATGGCAGTGGCACATTCTACGAATGCGGTGCCCGTCTAATTTCGGTCCCGTGAATTCCCTCATTTCTGCGTTAAACTTTTTCTCGGTCTAATGAGCTCCGGAGAGCTCACGGCCGTCCTAAGGGCATGTCACGCGATCGTATCGCCTAAGCCGGCCTATTCGGGGAAGTTACAGTGTACTCGCATTGTGTGTACGCGCCGTCACGAAATTGTATAGGCTTTCGATATTCCGACGTGTGTTTCGAGAACTGCTCGTACAAGGTGCCTGAGAACTACGGCGGTTACGCAAAATCCTTTATTTTTCTCCACAAAAAAGATCCGCGAAACACATCGTATCTTTGTTCCCCTCCTTTTTTTTTTAAACTACTACGTGTCGGAATTGGCCATTTTGGGAGAATCTAAAAGGAAGCCGATCCTTTCGTGTGCTATATATCCTTTTATATTTAATAACGCCCAGTATGCAGATATTTTTATACATATTTAACGTGTGATTGTATATTATATTGTGTTAAATTGTTAATCAAGGATTTGATGTAGCGTTTAACTCTGTCTTTTTTGTAGTAATTTTTATTTACAAAAGCAATAATTATAATGTAAAAATTGTTAATAGAATATTTAATAGGATTTAGAAATCTAGTAAAGAGAGAGAGAGAGAGAGAGAGAGAGAGAGAGAAATGAGGACTATAATATCGATAAAATATTATTAGAATTATACTCACACATGGCGTTTTGATCTTTGTATACTTGACAAATCGACAAAGCTACGAGAGTTTTTCAAGGTCTTTTAAATTACGTAACACGGGGGCAACAGGGGTTATTTAAATGGGCTCACACTTCAAGTGCTAACCTCACACGCTGATGTCGTAAACATTACGACCTAAGTCGATGGGACTGGACTGTACATTTCTCGCTCTCTTCCTCGGTATCGAGTCTAATCGGCATTTTCTTTAATTGGAACGGTTTTCGAGGAATTCGATTTCAACTGCTTATTACTGCAAATTGCATCAATTTACTTGTCATAAAATAATAATCGTAAACATTGCAAAATCCTTTCACTTTTAGAAATTCTATGGAAAAAGATATTGAAATAAATTTTTTATATTTATTTTTTAACATGTTTTTCTCATATATTTATCTCGATGGAAAATATTTTCATAAATTAATTAATATTTTTAATTATAAATCAATAAATTATAAATTAATATTTTAATTTTCTAATAATTCAATAATAAAATTAAAAAATCCCAAAATATATACATTTCTGTATATTTTTCCTGCGATTATTATTTCGATGGCAACCGCCTTGCTTGGATAAAATGATACGGGGTAAAAAATGACGGTTGCAATTAAGCCGTGTTGCTCGCGTGACGTGGACATATCCTAAGCGAGCGTTACATATAATTTGGAGGAGATCTGAAAACGATGATTGACGACGCAACGTTCCTCTTAGCGCGAATGCAACGCGACGTTGGAATTAATTACATTCGGCGCAAATTTGAGGCGTAAATTCGACGAATGACGAGACGCGTTCAAGTACGCGCGAAGCCGAAAAAACATGGGCCGATCGCTTCGCCGCGGCCTCTAAATTCACGCTGTGTGACCGTGTATTCGTGATTTTCGCAATCACACTTGTAACGGCTCGCTGAACGATGACTCACTTAATATATAACAAGAAAAATGTTTTATGCGCCATATAATGGACGTTTTTAAAATATTTACACTCGCGACTTAAATGGAGTAATGTCTCTTTAAAAGGATACTTCGATCCTGGAAGATGTCCCGAAACCCTTTTGACCTAAATTTTGCCGACATGAAAAAAAACTTTATTTTGAAACAACTGAAAATTGATTGTTTTAATATAAATCTGATTTTTAAAAATTAAAACTTGTATTAATAAAACAATTAATGAAGCGAAAACTCTTTAACGAATTAAAATAAAATTTCGGAATTTAAATAAAGCGAATTAATGCTGTATAAAAATAATCCTTCTTTCCAATCGTTTCGTTATTAATATAATTTTAAAATCTCGCGTCAATTTATTCATGGTAACCTTGAAATGAACAACGTAAAAATGATTACCGGATGAATCCGTGTTCTCAGAAAAATTCCTTCCATCTTATTTCTTAATTGATACAATTTTAATTCGGCAAATTTAATTTGTAGGAGCTCGGGACAGCCGGGAAAATATTCGGTGGTGCGTCGTAAATTCGCGACGGGCGGAGCATCGTCGACGTCGACGACGACCAGCCGACGACGATATCGATCTCCCGAGTTTTCCTAAACGCGCCCACGGTCTACATATGTTTCGGAAGCAGGAGAATGGGCCGTGTGGACATGCGCCGCGCATGCACGCACCCGGGGCTATTGTATTAATGGCAGTGCCTCTCCTCGTCGAGCGCGACGCCATGTGATGCGCGTGGTTACATCGCGGGCTACACGACGACGGGAACAGCGACAGTTGTTGTGTGCTGCCGAGTGGCGATTTCGAAACCTGTCATTAGTTGCGGATGCGTTTAACCTTTCCGCTTGCCCCGCCTCGCCGAAAAATAGGGAAAAACGCGGCGAGCGTTCCCGCGACTTTGGGTGAGCGCGATTTTGCTGGAGCAGGAATGCGTCATGTGCGACTGCCTTCGGAAAAACAATGGTCTCGATTAAAAGAATCATCGATTGACATGTAATAACGTAAACGTTATCTCGAAAAGCGATCAAGGTTGAGTGACTATTTTAGCGACTTTACGGGCGAATTTTTAATCTTGAAAATCGCTATTATCTCGTAGATTTTATTCTTGTGTAATAATTGGAGTTGCAGTTTTTCTCTCTCTCTTATATATTATATTTATTTTCTGTTTTATATTGCACGTATATGTTCGAGTAATATAATTTTCAAAAATGTGCAGTGATAAAATTTATTTCCAGTACAATAGACGCAATCCTGCGAGTACATTACGTTATCTCGTAAAGTGTCACAATGGGTAACATTGTTCTGGTAAAATGAAGGTTACACTCGTGCTGTCTTTCTTTCTTTCTGCGCTATTGTGTGGAAAAATAAAACGACGTATCTTAAAAGATGTATAATTAATTTCTCTCTCACACACACACACACACACACACACACACACACACTCTCTCTCTCTCTCTCTCTCTCTCTCTTTCTCTCTCTCTCTCTCTCTCTCTATGTATATATTTATAATTAACATATAAAATAATGTTATTATTTTATTTCGATAATCATAGAAAAACAAACGACAAAATATTTGATTAAATATATTTTATTTTCAACACAAAATACATACATAATAATTGAAATAATAATTTAATAATAATAATTGAAATAATTGAAACGATAATAAATAATAATGATTGAAGTCATTGGAATAATAATGAATAATGATATAATTGAAATAATAATAATAGCAAACTAATAGCTAAATTCAACAACTGATATGAAAGCAATTAATGATAAAAAAAGAACGATATATAATAATAGTATTTATAAAAATGATGTATATTTATACAGAGAGAGAGAGAGAGAGAGATAAATCCAGTTTTGAATCTCAACAGTTATTCTCGTCTCACTCGGACAAGAGGTATCAATAATCATTTGTTTGCTAATAATTCCGCTGATTACCTCACAAATGAGACACAACGACTACGCGCGCGCTACGATCTCGTCAACGAATGCAAATGCGTCAAACGTAACGTGTAACGCATTTGACGTAACGCGCGACGCAATCCTTCTTACCCGTCCCGCTCGTTTAACGCGTTATGTGGACATGTTTTATAGCGCGATATATTCTTTTTTTTTCTTTCTTTCTCGACAGTTATCACTCTCACTCACTTGCGTTTATTGTTATCGTTTCCAGGATCGAGTCCGCTCACGACCTACCCGACGCAAAAAACCGTTGAACTTGGTGGACTTGAAAAATAAAAACTGCAGAAGGATCAACAGGATCCTTAGCGACGGGAAGAAACTCCGGTTCAAGCAAGATCCTACTCGAGGAAGATCCTGTGGAGCTTTCGGCGGCAGGAAGAGTTTGAAGTAAAAAACGACCTCGCTCTCAAGCTCTCGAGGAGAGATCGAAAACATCGGAAATAATCTGTCGAGAGGGGAAGAAGAGAATCGAAGAGAGGCCCGGCTCTTCGGGGAAGAGACACTCCCACTGCTCGTGCTACGGACCCACCCTGACGACGTGTACGCGTCTCGATAGAGAGATCACGTCCATCATCGATCACGCCATCGCTCTCGGTTGAGCCGAGGCCGCTCGAAATTCTGTCGTGATCGTGAGCCGATTCGTGCAAGGCAACGTTTCTCGCCTGCACCTGCCCGTCTGTGTATCCTTCGGAGTGCAAGAGAGAGAGAGAGAGAGAGAGAAGAAGGAGGTGGGAGAGAGAGAGGAGAAAAAAGACGGCGTGCTCGACAGTGGCACGGGCTATATCGAATGTCGTCGAGCTTGGGAAGACGACTGGGAATCATCGGCGGAAGGATGATGCAGCTTCCAACTCATCACCGGATGTCACCGTCGAGCTCTGTCGGCTAATCGGCGATTAATCGAGAACGATAGCCACTCGCGCGTGTACAACTTCCGAGGTACCTCTGAAGATACTTTCGGGACACCGTGTGTGTTGTACGATATACGAACCAACGTGTGAATTCGAACCTCGCTTTTCTCTCTCGTTGGGCTTTTTTCCTTTTCTTTTTTTACTTGAATCGCGACCAAGAGTGTTGATTTCTGTGATACTGGTGCCGCGAGTGATGGTTAACGACCTCGCTTAGTGGTGATATCGACAGTGTGGTGGTGAAAAGTTTTTCTTGGTGCGCGAGAGCAGTGGTCACACCAGAAGAGGACGAGGAAGAGAGGGGAAGAAAGTCTCTCGCGTGTACGCGTGACTCTCAATTCATTACCACGGATCTCCCTCGGCAATTCGACGCCGCGCCCACCCTTGATGAGAGGAGGCACATGTCCATTGCTGCCGCTGAAAATGCAGGGTGAGTCTTTCGCAGATCCATTTGTCTTGGTTACAATTATCATTTGTCGTGCGAGCCTTCACGGCGCCCAACCAGATTAAATCGGGCAGTTGGAGAACAATGCGAGGTAATAATTTTTGGAGAACGAGACAGTTAATGTCCCGGGAATATGTTGCGAAAGCATGTAGTCTTTTCAGTCCGAAGGCGATAAATAAATTCATGTAGCACCTGTAGAGGCCTCTAAATATATTAAACCGTTTAAAAGCAATATTTTTTTTGTAATATTTATAAACAATATTTCTTTAAAAATACTGATGATATTTCTCGATGAAATTTTGACAAAATATTAAAGTTTGGAATTTTGCAGAGTTACAATTATTGAAGAAAAATAATGCTTTTTTTGGATATAAAATGTGTTAATTTAAAAAATTTATTGTTATATAAAAGTTATATTTTTACATTTTTTTTCATTTTAAATTGTAAAACGAAAAACACAAGCCTCTGGCACAATTATGTATTGTATATTTAAAGTGACTTGTAATTGTTTCGCGAACTATTTTAAATAATTTATAATGTTTGCAAATTGCCCGATTTAATTACAGCGTCCGGCTACGACTTTGATTAATTCAAGAGCAATTAAATTTAATTTTTATAAGTTCATGAAGAACATGTGTATCCTAATTTTAGATACAAGTTGAAATGTTGATTGAAAAATTTTAAATTGAAAATGCCTATGAATCGTTCTATATAAACCGTATATATTGCTTTTTATATACAATCTAAATATGTTTCTAATCGAATAAGATGGAAATTGGATCTAATTGGATTTAATTGTTCACACAATGGTTCGAATAGCTTCTATCGAACATATTATTAATGAAGACTTGACATTGAAACTCTACAAGTGCCAAAATAAAAAAATCTCGAGATGTAAGCTGTTTAAAAATAATATTTTATCTATTTAAAAATTTAATTAATATTTTATTTATTTAAGGAGGAAACCATGAAAAAGATATATATTTTATATCCCTCAAATTTTTATAAATTCAGACTTTATTTATTCTCCTTGATATGACAAAATGTTCTCTGATAACAAAATTTATATTCTTTTTGGCATAATGTATATTAAATTATTGCAAAGTATTTCTTATACATCTTAGATTTTCCTCTCATAACAAATATTATAAATATATATGGCATTTGCAGTTTTTTATGTGAAATCTTCAAACGTTTATTGCTCGAAACACGTTTCCGTTATTCGAGAATCCGATTTAAGTTGCAACTATCGAAATTGGGGTATCGATATTTCTATTATTTCGCGAAATGTCAAACGGTGTAAATCAGGATCAGAAAAATGGTCGCGAAGAGGGGGGGCTAAACTGGCAATTATAAGTTCCCCTTTATAGATACGTTCATTGTTCGATGCTTTGCAGGTTATTAGGATGTTTTTAGTTATTTAGGGTAATGTCCTGACCGGGTCACCGGTCGGTCGGTTTAATATCATGTTGGAACCACGTCAGAGATGCCAATGACGTCACACGCTATCGTCTCTTAATTTCCAGAATTACGCGTGCGCTCAATCGTTGAGCTTGACCGTAGGTCGATTCGCGCGAGAATTAGGTAACATTTATAATAAACCAGCGGAGAATTATGTTAGCATTTGAATAACCGAAAGTAGGGCACGTTTTGTGCTCTCCAAACTTAAAATTCGTGAAATATTTCGTAACGCGGCTCACATACCAAGAAATTTATGGCATTCTATATTCACTATGAAAAGTAGACGGTATATATTTCTACAATTCCTACGGTAATTTTAATAGAAATAAATTGCAATTGGAATTCTTTATTATTCTTTAACATCCGAATTTTTTTTTTAATTTATCGCAAGCTTGTTCGAATACGTGGTCCTTTAAAGGACGAGGGATTTTTGGGACACTCTGTACGTGCCGAGCTAACGTAACTAGTATCAAAGTATCGATACTTTGCTCTTCCGATACTTTCACTTTCGACATCATCCAGATATACAAGGTGTCCCGACTTGTCGCGGTCCCATGCGCACGCCCAATATGGCGTGTGGAGTGATCGAGGAAAGGAATTGCACTTGACTGGCCGTTATATTTAGGTTTAAGGAGAGAGAGGAGGAGAGCCAGGGTCCTTTGAGGCGGCCCCGCTCCTGCCGTTTGCTCCTTTTTCGGGGAGTACCTGTCTCGCATCTTCCTCGGGCATCTTCCACGCAGTTTCCACATCGAACCCTATCCTTCCCCTCCCCCCCGATTCCTCTCCAGGTCTGTTTATATACCTGGGAGAGATATATATACCCTCCCTCGTATCCTGTGCGATGACGGGGCCCCTCCTTCGTAGACATTTAAGTATCCGTTGCCGCCGCTATCAAACGACCGCCAACTATTCTTTTGCATCTCTCCGTCCCGACTATCGCTAATAACGGCCGGGATCGGGATTTTTCGCGGATAATAGGGAAGGAAATAATCGCACGGCGAAATTATGGCTCGTACGATAGATATATACGGCGCGAGACGTACGGGACTTAATTGGATTTATCGTAAATTTTCTTTTTATTGTTACCCATTTATCTTTAGGCTTTTACTTGGACTATTTTTATTGGTGCGATTTTTTAATACGCTTTACATAATTTTCGTAATAATAATTTATAGATAAGATTTATATTTTTTTAATTATATTTATGAATTTTATTTATTAAATATTTGTTAAATATTTTTAAAAATTTTACACGCAAGTATCTGTCATCGTGAAAAATCCGGAGCTGAGATTGCGCTGGTTCGAGGTGCCCTCGATTTGTTTTTTATTTTTGGAGTTGGAAAATTAAATACCCGCGCGCAAGAGACGCTTAAAGTCTCCCGAACCTTCATAATTTTACCGGTAATATCTAACATCGCATTTAACATTCCATTTTTCGCCAATAAAATCTGTCTCGCAATAATTTGCGCGTTATGGAAGCACATCGGCCGATAACTTGAGCGCTTATGGCGTCTCGTTACCAGTCGCAGTATAAGTATACGCAACGCTCTCCGCCTACTTAACACTCCATCGTCGTAATAGATTCCGTTCCGTGGCGGTGTGTTAAATTATCGATAAACTTCTCGCCGCGAGAGATATTCCTGCGGATAGAGCGCTCTTGTGCCGAGTATAAGATATCGCGTAACGACGAGAGAATGCAAGCGTTGCTCACGGAAAACGCTCGTCGCGATAAGGAATTTGCCCGATGATGCGCTCTCCTGAATGCATTGCACCTGCAATATGTATAACAGATGAGATAGATTTACGACATTCGATAAGGAAAACATGCGTGCAGTCGTAAGATTTTTTTAAATTTGTGTTGTTTAAATTTTTGTAAATTTGTTCATTTTTTTGTAATTTTATAGAAATAATTCTTGAGAGATGACGTTTAGATTACACATTTGAAAAGGCGTGTGATAAGTCTACGTAAAGATTTAACTCGGGCCGATGACATGACATTCTAATTCGTTCCAACACGTTAGTAAGGCTTCAGGTATCTGCGACTGCGTCCAACAAAGATCGATGTCGTTTTGACCACGGAAAATTATGCGATGAATGTGTGTTGAATGAAAGAGAAAATTTTATTTATATAGAAAAGTTTTATTTATATTTTATTTTTATAGAATTACGCATATATATATGTCAGCTGTTAAATGTCACAAGTATGTCAGAGAAGAAAAGAGAGGGAGAAAAAATTCAAAAGTGAAAAAAAAATACTTTGTTGCAACAATTATTTAAAAAACTTGCTAGATTGAATCCAAGTTTCTTACACAGAAAAAAAGGACATTCTTCTTTTGAAAATATATTTAGTTTTACCATGGAAATCTTGAAATGAGATTTTATTGCGTTAATTAAAGAAAAATAAAATTGCTTATTTGAATAAAGTCATTTTATATAATTCAATCAAGAAAAATATATTCTTATGATTTAAGATTTAATTTTCTTGAATAGAAAACAATGTTAGATAGAAAATAACATTTTTAAATCAAAGATTATAATTTTCTTAAAGCAGAATTAAATAATTATATATTCTTGAGGTGACAATTACAATATTAAAACAAGACTATAATATTGTTGAAATTTAAAATTATTAAATTCTTCCAAGAAGATTAAATTGTTGCCTATATACGAAACAATGAACGCGTTAGTTTAAGTATACAAGTTTTGATTTGACACTTATTCTTTTCTGTGTAAATAAATTTTTCCAAATCAACTTTCGTCCCTTGATGTTTGGATTATTCAATACCGAGTCTCACCGAACATTTATCGTTCGAATGAGATATCGGATATTATGTCGGCATTTAATGTGACACTTAACCGTACATTCATTATTCAAATAGTTAATTATAATATTTCTTTGCAACTGGAATTCGCGCTCGCGTTCCCGCGGTCGATCGCGCGTGAAACGAGTCGCCATCGGTCAAAGACGCGAACGCGTAGTAAAACGCACGACGAGAAGTTTTTGAATGCGGCGATACCCGATGTGAGTCACATGCCGCGCACCGGAAAGGTAGGCGCGAGAAGGAGAAAGAGAGCGGCTCGAACGAGGCGCGCGTTGCAAATGAATGCAAGCCGAGCGCGGGAGCTGCATTTTTGCGTTTCGGCCGCACGTGTTTGCGAGGTTTGCCGCTTTTGCGAGGCGCGCCGGGGCCACCGATTTTGCGCCAGAAAAAGCTCGTACGCACGGCAAAAAAAAAAGCGTCGCCTTCCCGACATTACGAACAACCTTGTTACGAGATCGCATTTTTTCCGTTTGTTTTTTGGAATTTAAATCGGCTGATAATGACCATAAGATTCTTTCCGGTATTTTGAGAGGAGAGGGGTTGATCATATATTAAATTTAAATAATACGATTAAATAATAAAAAATGAAATAATACAATTGTGATATTTAGTGGACGAGGAAATCGATGGGGAGCATCGCATTGTCGGGCGCTGTCCGCAAGTAGCACAGCGTGTACGCAATGCGTCACTGTCGACGCACGC